CTTGATCCCCGAAACATCCTTTCCCAGTGATCACCTGCGTCAGTCGGTATGAGAGGGTCCCGTGACGCCTCTCGAGCCAATCCTCCATAACGGGTCTTACCGCCGCGATGACGGCGAGCCCGGCGCTCGGTTGCCCGAGTCGTTCCCTCCACTCCCCTATGATGACCTGGCGGAGTTGGGATTTCCGGTCATCGATTTCTCGAATCTCGGGGCTTCGACCCAACTCCCGCGCCTCCTTGCGCCACTGATACAGAACCGCAAGGGCTCTCGCCTCCAGGTCCCACGGGTGAGTTCCGGCCAGGAGGCCCATGGACACCTGCAACTCAAAGTTCACAAGTGTCATAAATAGACATATCTCTTCACTTCATTCTAGTTTTTCATTTCTAGTTTAATACTCTTTTTCCTATATGACTATACACACTATTAGATTATATATTTCAACGGTAAACGCTTTCTACTACACAATGTTTCCAACTTTAACTTTTTTTATCGATTTCAGTTGGTGTGAAAAGTTGGAACGGTGTATTTAATGACAGCAGTGTGGTAGTTATCGTAAGCCCATTAAGTTATCTTATCTATAATAACAGTCTCCTGATTGTACGGTTATTAGAATATAATACCAGAGAAACAGGATACCAAACCAGACTTTTAAATTAGAAGTAATTATGAAAACGGTCCAAAACGAAATAAGACTACCGAATTAATAATAATAATAACTGCATATATCTCATAAACAGCCGTCTGGTCTTCAACTGGGCAGAGCCTACTACTATGGTACTACTTAAATATTTCATTATAAATGCACACATATTATGGATAAACTACATCCAGACATAGAATAAATGATCGTACTCATTATACAATAATTTGGGGTGGGAATCGCATCGACGACCTACGGGTTAGCTATCAGGGTCACTAACCACTAGACCAAGAGGCCAGTCAAAATGATATATATATATATATATATACACGTTCGTCGGATCCCAAACTAGGCAGCGCCTGTACTATGTAACCAGACTGCAAGTCTTCGAGGAGCATTGACGTTCCGAGTAAGATCAATACACTGTAAAACGTCAACTTTGCAATATTTGACTTCTTTAGCAACTCAGCTTCAAAATTAACTGTAAAACGATGTTTTCGCAACGATAAATGCTTCGATAATGAGTGCTTGACGAGTCTGGTTACCATATACGTACTTATATGTTTCTAAATATATACATATTATAGATAAAGTACACCCAGACACAGAAAAAATGACCGTGCTCCTCACACAATTATTTGTCCTTGGTGGTAATCGAACACACGACCTCTGGTGTAGCAGTCAGGGTCACTAACCACGAGACCAACAGGCCAGGCCATAATGAAATGATTTTGTCAAAAACCGCGTTCTTTCGATTACCACATCAATATCTTGTTTCATAAATGTATTAGGTATTGGATTTGTTTCGTATGGAAAAAAATAAAGGTGTTTTATATTATTGCATGACGGTCATACAATGATATCACGTTTATCTCTTTGTTGATTTGTATACACTTGCAGGTAAGGTACATTTTTAAGGAAATTTTCTACTTCTTAATAGTTAGCTAGTTTGCTAGTAGAACGAACATGAGTGTGACCCTTTCTATAGTACCTATACGCAATAGGCAATGTAATGTTTAAAAAAAATCATCACGTGTACAGCATTGTGTTACATAGAGATCTTAAATGAAGATTCATATTCCGAAAAATCACATCAGTAAAAGAAAGCAAATGTTCTCAAGGATATTGCGACGTTATAAAAAGTTTTGTTTTAGCGCGTGTCAACACCGTCAATTTAGATAACTTTATTACCTAGAAATGCTGATAGTGACATAAAATCTCTGAAGTCAATAAATACCTTTTATTTGCCGCGATATTGAATACCTATAATATACTCTTTTATAAATATAATCTAGACTAACTAGTAATTAAACTGTGAAAAAAATGTAGACTTACTGTAAATGTATATTTTTCTAATTATATAAACATTTTTCTCAATGTTATACACTACCTCTGGATGAGATCTTTATTTTCAAGTCGTTTAAACTTACTGAAAATCATGTAGGTGCCTAAAATAAACAGTTTACAATAAGAGTAGATTCGTAATCGTCGGTGATGGTGATAGATTAGTGAAGCAATGATAGTTAAATGGTTTTACCAGTGAGGTCTTCCGTCGACAGTTCTAATGCTACTTCAAGTTAATTTTATTTTGTATGTTATTTTATTTATTTATTTATTTTAAGGAACACAAACAATGTATTGTACAATAACGTCTTAAGCACTAATATGCATAATGTCTTAATCTAGTACATACAAAAATAATATGTGTCCACAGCATCTGCCATTTTATGTTAACTACCTTGAGAGATACGAGACAATTTACATAATTTCCATGTTCGATGACTATTAACACCTTTGCAAATTTACATTTAAAAATAAAATGCTAAGCACAAATCATTCAATGTAATAATCTTATATATATATATATATATATATATATATATATATATATATATATATTTATTTGCAAAAATCTATACCATACATTTATTAATAAATAAATAAGTAATAAATAAATAGTAATAAATAAATAAATAATATTCTTAAAATGTGTTTGTTTCTCACATTTTGATATGTAGATTAGGTAATTTGGTGAGATGTGAAGTAGTATTTATAATTATTATGATATAAGGAACATGTAATAAATGACCATCAATATTTTTAATATCCGTCACCTTCAGTGGCCATACGATTCTGACCTGATCAAGTTGTTGCTTACACTCACTAATACATAATGTTATAAGCAACGCGTATTTTCTTTCATTACCTTCTGGCATAACTTTACCTTTTCAATATAATCCTGACTGTACCTGTGGATGACGATCCATCTGTGTTAGGCTTGAACGAGTGTCGTCAATGACGCGGAAGTCTTCGACAGCGTAATACATACCTAAGGACGCCTCGGTATACCTCGGAAGTTGCCGGAAACCACGGCAAATCAAAGGACGCCCAAGCAACCCTCGGCTAGTTTCGGCAGTCTTAGGGCCGTCGAGGCATAATTGGGAATCTAGGGAATGTCCACTAGATCCCAACATTATGATTGCGTCTGTCGCTTCTAACGATGCCACAGTTCCAAATTCAACTAGGGACCAGGTTGTTGCAATGGCATTCCTAAGCAGATCTAGGCATGCCTGAAAACTCCTAGACATTCCTAAGGAAATGCCCTAATGAAATGTCCTATGCTTGAGAGCTCCTCGGCATTCCTAAACACATCTCGGCAAGCCTAAGAACTTCTCGGTATTCACAATCACACCTCGGCATGCCTGAGAAATTTTCGGTATTCCTAAGCATACTTAGGCAAGCCTCAAGAACTCCTCGGTATTGCTAAAGCCAACCTCGCCATGCCTGAGAACTCCTCGGTATTCCCAAGCACAACTTGTCATGCCTGAGGACTCCTCGGCAATGTGTGCGTCTGCGGGTAGCTATGCTGAAGTAGCCTTTGATAGTGGGCACCGGGCCTAAGACTTTCTGTCCCCCGATCCTGGATATTACAAAGCTGATAAAGACAGCGTTGCGATGAAGGATTTGTAGAAAATTTCAACGTGGTCAGGTGCAATGTCTGGAGTCTTGAAGGACTTACAAAAAGCATTGTTTGATGAGCCTTAATAGATGAATCGCTTGCGATACCGTTTTTAGTCAGAAATCCTACTTAATGAAAACTAAAAGAGCAGTTCAGACGAGTAAATCGAAATGTAACTGCTGTTATGGTACGACACAAGTCGACGAGACGTTTTGATCGAATTGCATTCTGGTCAGTGTTGTTAGACATGCACGCATTACCTATTTTCGTCGAGCATTAAAAAAAACAGTATTTACTATTCGTAAAATAATTTCATGTTAGTCAATATGGTAACAATAAATAATAAAACATACATATCTAAACAAACACAATGGCAATAATTTGTCATTATGCCGTTTAAAAGACGATACTAATAAAATTTCAAAGTAGTTAACTAATAACTTTAAACCATAATGATGTAGTTACCGTTTGGTATTAATTTACGGTTTGTATTTGTAAACAATGAGGCGCACATGAGTGATTTGCTTACATTAACGCCAACGCGCGTGTAGCGTATTAGTTACCTAACAGCAAAAGCTACAAACCTATTACCAATCTGTACTGGATTATTTGATATTATGGTTCTGTATTCACAAGAATTATACCATAATTAACCATAAAAAAATATATTTATATATTAAAACTAAAAATTTTTTTATTGCTGTTTCTCAACGGAGCACATAATACTAAGACATTCTCGTAGTCGTGGAAAAATTATTGCTATATGAAATTTCAGTTCTTACGAAGAAGGGTTGAGGGCATCTAGGTAACAATAAGTATCTCATATGTCATTTTGAAGTTTACTTTTTGAGTGATAACTTAAGATTTTTGTCAATTAGTTTAAATCAATAGTTTACCGTTATTTATTGTATGTACCTTGGTATGGGTCGTCCTCAGAGTAGGGCGCCTGAAGCCGGCCGTAGAGGTGGGTTTTAGAGAAAGGGATTGTCCGCCCCGTCAAAAAATAAAGTACCTAATGATTTACATAATTGATACATGTCGTAATCAAAATCATGCATAGTTTTTGTTTTTTAACATCAAATAACAAAGCTTGCTTCAAAAGCAACTGTGCTAATCCCTAATACATTATTTACACCTATATGTTATCTTTTGCAACACTTCATTGGTCCGGCGATTATTTATTCTGGTGTGGTTTGTGCAGCAGTGTATAATTTTTTGATCCAACTTTATTTAAAAAACCATAAACTACGTTTTTTTAAATTATAACTCAAGAAACCGAATTTATTTTTAATGGCTCTGAATCTGAGAACTTCACCCACGGACGCACTTATTATCGAACTGGTGAGATTTATTTTATAGCAGACGCAGTTTACAGACTGTTGAGCAGTTTATCCATCATTGTTACAAGGCGTGCCTTTGATTTCTGTTATATTTTTGCACTAACTGGAAAGATAAATACACAAATAATATTCTACACACTAAAGGATAGCTGCAATTTTTTACAAATGTTATAATGTGTTAATTGTTTTGTTTAAAATGAATACTCAAAAGCTTAATAGGTACAAGTTATACATATGATCTAATGCTTAATAGTGGACCTACTTGAATTGGAGGTTCTGTTCTAATAACACTAGTGTATCCTAAATGAAAAACTAACTTGCCAAACTTAAGTTGTACTAAGTAAGCAGTACAGGCGATAATTTCTAACCATAACAAAAGCTTTTCGTAAGTTCGGTACGTCAAACTCATCAAAATTCATCCTTTTCCTCCTTCCTTTTCATCATTCGGAAAACATATAATAAATAAGTATACACAAGTATCAGCTCTATAAAGTAACATTTAATATATTTCATGATGAGTGCTTACACTCGTATACCTATCCTGTGGCTGTTTTCAACATAAGTGCGTCAACTCCTAGCCTTGGGAACTTTTTGATATAGCAAAGTGATGACTCGATTTGTGCGTCCCTTTCCTATTGATATGTACTACAACTACTACATAGTGCTAGCGAGCGAGGCACAATAAATATAACGAAAATAGGACGAAGTATTTAAATAAAAATGTAGGACTACCGCTTCCATTATCCATGTAACTAGTTATTTTATAAATTGATTTACAACATTTAAGTATTTGACTACCTTTCAATTCAGAATTCTTGTTGTCTGTACCTAGAAACAGGAATTGAAATCCGTCATTTAAAAGGTCTTAGAAAAAAAACTCCACCGGTCCTGTGCTACCCGCATTTGCCACAATTTTTTAATTTATTTATTATTTAATTTTAAATTCTTATTCGCTGTCCTTTGTGATACATCTGTGAAATGTACAAGACAAAAAATTTAAACATGGCAACGATATTGTTAATAGATGAATGGAACACAAAAAATACAGAACACCTTTGTTTTGTTAACACAGTGTACATTTTGTGCACACTTGGCGAGTATTTATTGAAATTATTTATTTATTAACCAATTGCTGCGAGTTTAGAATATATACCTGGGTTTTTAACTTTTGTTATTATTTTTAAAAAAGTTCATAATCTAATATAATATTTATTACTACTTTATAATCTAGGCAGAATTGACACGTGGAATATGAATTTGCACGTGACTCCAAAATGGACAAAATATTTTTATTTGTATATGATGATCATAAATTGTTATATTCTTTTCAATCTGAAACCCAGAAATAAAATTAGAAAGGTAAATAAAATAGGTTAGAACTTCCTCCTTACTCTAATAAGTTAGGTAGGTATATTTTTATTCATAGGCAAGCATACCCAATACTCTAAGGATAACACCAACAGCCTATAACAGTCCAGTGCTGGACATAGGCCTCTCCTTGGAAAGGAGGTTTTGGCCTACTATACCACGCTGGCCAAACGGGTTGGTATAGGGTTTGTTTCAAGTTTTCCTTCTCTTAGCAGTGCTGTCGTCCTGCGTAGTTTGCTCCCTTGGTCGGCTCTTACGACACCCACGGGATGAATAGGGGTGGTGACATTCCGTATTCTTCATCCGTCACCACACGGACATAAGGATAAATACCTATGTATTAGATATTGAGAATATAATCATTTTAAGTACTAGCTGAACATGTTTTATATCTTATTTTACACTAGAGATGTGACGGTCTGGAAAAAGGTGAAACCGAGTTGAATCGTTTTGACAATTCGTGCGAATCGGTTCCAAACCGAACCGTTGAAATTGCAGTAAACCGCGGTTTGAACCGTATGATGAGTTGACAAGCGAATGTAACATATAAGCATTATGCAACATGATTCAACGGGATCAATTAAACCATCGTTTTACGGTTTGCCAACCGTTTGCAACCGAGTTTACAAACAAGGGTAAACCTGACATTACCTACTCTAACCGACGACCGTCGGTACCGTCGTAGTTTGTTGAGAGCTAAGGGCAATACGACAAACTACCCAGTCAAGTAACATGATTACCATGCTTTCATTTTTTTTCATTTGCTATATATGGGACTAATCCCACCCACACGCCCACCACTGTAACTGGTGTGTTCGTAGGTCACTGCTGTGGATCCTGGTGTACAGGCACCAGGATCCACAGCAGTGACCCACGAACACACCGCGTTATGACACTCGGGAAGTCCCAGGAAGAAATTAAACTGTCTTGGAACCCGCAACGAAATTAATCAGAAGAAAATTGGAGGAGTTGGAAATACAGTAAATCCACTTCCCTCCTTAACAAAGCGGGAGACAAAATGAAGTAAAATGCGCATACACCCTTTTAAACAGGGAAGCACCACGGCCACAAATATTACGGGTCCTACGTGAGCTATGTTTGATTTCTATAATATGTATGGCAGAATCGCCTAAACGCACGGAAATTCACCCTAGTTGACACAAGATCCCCATAGTATACCGCCCCAGATGTCACCTGCAAGCTATTCAGCATTATATTACGTTCATTATACCAAAGACTACATTCCCAGAGGATATGATGAGCAGACTGTTCATAGTGAGAGTTAGGTGTTGAGCATTGACACAATGGTGACTCGACTAATTTAAATGAATAAAGCTTGCTCTTAAAGTTACCATGACCCGTAAGAAATTGGGCGACACAGTGATCCACCTCAAGCCATATCCTCGACAACCGTTCGCGAACAGATGGAAAGAATTGGTAAAGATGGCGCCCCTTGGATGATTCATCCCAGCGTTGTTGCCATTCGTCTATGAGGTCATTATAGAGATCGGGCTGCTGTTGAAGCAATCTTGTAATTTTACCGCGATCCCGCGCGCCCAAAAAGTCGCATTCCATGTTTTGTTGTCTTGAATAGTACATGGCTGCACGTCTCTGCACCTTGAGATCGACCGGAAGCACACCCGCCAACACCGGCAAAGCCTCAGTGCTAACCGTCCTATATGCCTTACACAAGAATATCAGTGCAAGTCGTTGGCCTTGTAACAGTTTGCGACGGACAGCGCGTACGGTCGCCCTATCGGCCCATACAGGTACACCATAGCACATAGAACCTAAATAAGTAGCTCCGTATATGATCTTTAATGTATTAAATGATAGACCCCATGTCGCAGTTGATATCCTTGTCAATGCACAGAAACTCTTTTTAGACTTTTCATTAACTATTTTAATATGTTCGATAAGTTTCTTTCTAAAACTAATCCTAGGTAACACACTTGGTATATAGGTATAAGGTAACACACTTGGTATAAGGTAACACACACATTTGGTATTTATAAGAAAAATATGTTCGTTAGATCCGAACGGTTAGTAAATCGTTTTATGTATCAAATTATTGTTAAACTACGCGCGCTAACCGTATCCCATTTTGTAGGAATATAATAATATAGTTTATGCTTGTAGGTAAATTGATAAAGATTTAGTGTTGTCTCGCGTCGACTCGGTTCAGAATCAGTTGGTACATAAATCAGTTTTGTTCGGTCGGTAAAGCAGGAACCGCGAGCGTGATGATACGACGCAGAGTGAAGCGCGATCGTTAATGTAATAAGTACTAGAAACGTTAAAAAAAAGACATGCATATAGGGAATATGTCACGTTAATGACTTTAAGACTTGCATTAACATGTTATTAGAGCGCCCGACTAATATGTAAATAATAATATATAAATAACAACTAGCCTCCCTAAGAATAGGAAGAAAGTATTTTTTTTCTTTTTTTAATTAATGTACTATGAAACTTATTTAGTTATTGACACAATTTTATGTACATCGGCGGATTAATTTACGCCCAGCCTAATCATAATCTGGCGTCAACGTAATAAACCAAAAAATAAACCAAAAAATCCTATTTTTTGGTTTATGGTCAGATATTATCTGAAGAATAAAGCTTAAATCTGAAGAATTACTTTATCTGTCGTTTCACGCCTCAGTTAGTTATATTATCTGTAGAATAGTGATTTTGACTTTTGTGTATTTGTTTACGTTCTCGAATATTTGTTGTAGTAAAGGTTATACACGTTGCCCTTATTGAGTATTTAAATTTTACTGTGTCCTGAGAGAAAATAAAGGTTTTTAGAGAAAAATATGACAATACTTTTTGTGTGATGATGAACAATTTCATTACAAGTTATTAACAAATACAATTCTTCGAAATTTAACGCTCGTTTCTTAAATTTTAGTTTAAGAAACGAGCATTAAATTTCGTTTTTAAATTTAAGGCTTGTTACCATATCTAACGTGTTACTACCTGTATAGCTGCACCTCGCTTACGCTTGTTTACAGTGAACTTACCCATGAAAGACCAACAATTAACTATCTGTGGGTTTCTTGATCATCAGAAATCACACCAAACACAGTAACACAAAAACAGAAAAAGTTTATTCGCTTGATTAACAGTAAGATAAATTTATTCACAAGTTAGTTGTCTGACAGTATAACTGAGAATTAAAAAACCAGCCCTAATCAATTAATATTTAAAACTCTTGAGTTATGAACTGCATACAAAAATATAATTTAAATGTTTATAGAATAATTTACATTGTATTAATACACTATGAATACTAGAATGTTTGCAATAGATCAGGTAATTTTGCCATGTTTGAAGAAAACAACACATCTAGAACCTTATAGTACTTCTTATTGTTTTTCAAAGTATTCACCACGTAGCTTAATACACTTTTCTATTCGCTCAAACCAGTTATTATAACATTTATTCCACTCTAAAGTGGGGGTGTTCAAAATGGCTGACTTGAAAGCGTCGGCTGCTTCTTCACCGGACTGGAACCTTTGACCACGAAGACTTTTCTTAATTTTAGGAAATTTAAAGAAATCGTTAGGGCTTCGGTCAGGACTGTATGGAGGATAGTACCGAGAGGCGCGGAAAACTCTGAAGCTGGCCATTAGCCGCGCCAAAGAGATAAAGAGAAAGGAGATGCTGGAGGGTCTCGATCGTGACCCCTGGGGTCGCCCTTATCGCGCGGTGCGACAAAAGCTCCGCGCGTCGGGCCCCCCCCCTTACGGAGACTCTCCAGCCCAGCTTCCTGCGAGAAGTGGTTGAGGGCCTTTTCCCGCAACGAGCGGAACACACTCCCCCGGCGATGGCCTCCTTGGCCGGAGACGGCGGGGAGCACGAGGAGGATGATGTTCCGCCCGTCCGGGATTCGGAGGTAGGGGCGGCTGTTCTACAGATCCGTTCCAAGAACACCGCCCCTGGGCCAGACGGGGTACCGGCCCGAGTGCTGGCCCTAGCCCTCAACCACATGGCAGACCGCCTCGGGGAGGTGTTCGACGCCAGCTTGGCGTCTGGACGTTTCCCTGAGTGCTGGAAGAGCGGGAAGCTGGTCCTATTAAGGAAGCCGGGACGGCCTGCCGATTCGGTCGCGGCCTACAGGCCCATCGTGCTGCTGGACGAGGCGGGTAAATTGTTTGAGAGGGTTCTCTCTACCCGCATCGTCCGGCACCTCTACGAGGTGGGCCCCGATCTGTCGGACGCCCAATTTGGTTTTCGGGCGGGGCGTCCGACAGTCGACGCTATTTTGCGCCTGAGGGCCGTGACCGAAGAGGCTGTGAGCTGTGGCGGCGTGCTGTTGGCGGTGTCATTGGACATTGCCAACGCATTCAATAGTCTGCCATTCAGCTGCATCAGGGAAGCACTCCACTATCATGGGGTGCCAAAGTACCTGAGGCGGCTAGTGGCAGACTATTTAGAGGAGCGTACCGTCGTGTACGAGGACCGAGATGGTAATTTGAGGTGTCGGCCCATGTCGTGCGGTGTTCCACAGGGGTCTGTTCTTGGACCCCTCTTGTGGAACATAGGGTACGACTGGGCCCTTCGCGCCGATTTCCCCCCCGGGCTGGGTGTAATCTGTTACGCAGACGATACCCTGCTGACAGCCCGGGGGGCAAACTTCCAAGAGGCGGCGCGCCTGGCCACAAGGGGAGTCTCCCTAATGGTCGGGCGCATTGAGGCGCTGGGCTTACGGGTGGCCCTAGATAAGACGGAGGCCCTGTTATTTCATGGGCCCCGTCGTGGTCCACCCCCCGGCGCCTCAATCGTGGTCAACTCGGTCCTCGTACCGGTTCGGGCCCAGATGAAATATCTGGGCCTGATCCTCGACGGGAGGTGGCTCTTCGACGAGCACTTCCGATAGCTTGCTCCAAAGCTGGTCGGCGCTGCGTCTGCCCTAGGGCGACTTTTGCCCAATTTGGGTGGACCCAGCGTCGCGACAAGACGGCTGTACACGGGGGTTGTCCGGTCAATGGCACTATACGGTGCACCGGTGTGGGCGGCGGCTCTGACCGCCAAGAATACGGCACGCCTCTGGCGCCCTCAGAGGGTAATGGCGGTCAGAGCCATACGCGGTTACCGCATCGTGTCGACGGAGGTGGCGTGCGCGTTGGCCGGAACTCCCCCGTGGGATTTGGAGGCGGAAGTGCTCGCCGAAGTTTATCGGCGAGTGGCTGACTCCCGGGCGGAGAGCGGATTTCGCCCTCCGCCCGAGGATGTGCGCGAGTGGCGCGAAGCCGCTCGCCGAGCCACGATGGCTCGTTGGTCGTTCCGGTTGGAGACTCCACGCGCTGGCTTCGCCGCCGTGGAGGCTCTCCAGCCGGTCATCGCCGAGTGGGCAGGGCGGCAGCACGGGACCCTTTCCTTCCGGCTGACGCAGGTGCTTTCCGGGCACGGTTGCTTCGGAAAGTACCTGCACTCGGTCGCTTGGAGGGAACTGAGTCCCGCCTGCCACCACTGCGACTGCAGTGAGGACTCGGCCCAGCACACGCTGGCGGTCTGCCCCGCATGGGCGGCGCAGCGCCGGGCCCTCACTGCAGTCATCGGAGTGGATCTCTCGCTACCGGCCGTAGTACGCTCCATGGCCGGTAGCGACAGTTGTTTTACCGCGGTCGCAACCTTCTGCGAGGAAGTAATCTCGCAGAAGGAGGCGGCGGAGAAGGCCCGGGAGGACGACCTCCACTCGGACCCGATCCGCCGCCGGCGAACCGGGCGGCGGAGGCGCGCCTATCACCGCCTCATGCCGCCCTGAGTGTGGCCGCGGGTGGACGGGGTGGGTTTCCCCTCCACCCGCATTAGTTTGGCCAGCCGCCAAACTAATGCGGGGGCGGCGTCCGCGTGTGCCGGACGTCGCCTAAAGAGAGGAAAAAAAAATTTTGAGACGGAGCCCGCACTAGGAGCGGGCTGGCTAGGAGGGGCCGGATGTCTTAATAACAGCTGTTCCCGGATCCCTCCTGTTACAGGCGCAGAGTGGCACACCGTGTGGTAGAGATGGGCTTAAATGTTAAAAAATAATAGCACTGCTAAATGCTAATGCTAACAATAATTAACGCTTAAAATTAGCAGTTATTTTTAGCAACTGTTAAATTTTATCACAGACAGATTGTTAACCTAATTAATTCTCATTCCTTCATACTTTTCACAGGCTTAGGACTGTCAACTTTTTCTGTTGGCGTATTTAATATGAGAATCAATTTACATATTTACAACGATTTCTTTTTTTTAATGCGTAATTTTTTTTTTAATTTTTTTTTTCTTTTTTTTCTTATATCTACATAACACTTGGTAACATTACTTTTCTTAAAATTTTATAAATTTTTTATTGCCATTTAAAAATGTTAATTGTTTGACTTTTCGGACTCCAAGTCGAGTTCTTCGTTGCGAAATTATGTAACCAGTTCGAGAAAAAAGTCTTTCGCAAGAAACAGAAGTACAAAGTACATTGCATTTGCTTCGAACCAACTTAGCCAAATGTGGAAAAATGCCTTGGTTCTGCTTCCACCAGCTCAATGGTGAATTACTGCGACTAATCACTTTTTCATTTAAATATTTGTCGATTTCTATTATTGCTCGTGCAGTTGGAGACTCAATTGATTGCGGTACAGCCTCCCTAGCATCCCAGTCGTAAAATATTGAGGTGGGATCGAGAGAACTTTTGGTGCTAACTTCAATATTTTCGCATGGTCCTTCTCGATTTATTTCTTGGGCGACAAGTTTGATCATGCTCTCCCTTAAAGTTGCTTGCTTTGCAGATGTAAAGAACTGTAATTTAAAGCGGGGATCTAAAAAAGTTGCTACCCCAATCGTGTTACTATTTTCTATATTTTCGAATCGACTATGGGTCAAATCTAACAAAGCTCGAACAAAATCATAAGTTATTGGCAGATAGTGATAACCTGAAGAATCCGAGGTTAAAATATCGCCGAGAACTCTCTTTATGCCTTTTATTATTATTAATAGTTGACTGGCCGTCAAATACTTTTCACCACTCAGGTAATTTGATGCTTCTTCAAAACATTTCAGGGCTTTACAAGTTTCGTTGCAAAGTAACCAGTCTTCCGGCGTAATATTTGGCAAGCTTGTAACACCCAAAATGGCAATGGATGACTTGACGGCATCTTGAATTTCTATTATCCTTTCGAGCATGTAATATGTGGAATTCCACCTCGTCGGGACTTCTTGAAGTAGTCGTTTGGGCTGTGTTGCTCCATTCTGCTTTTGAAACTCATCAAGTTTTTGAGCGGCTTTAGTGCTTCGCTTGAAATAAGCGACGATGAGCTTTACACGTTCAATTACAGATTTGATGGGTACAGATTTTTCAGTGGCTTCTTGCACTATCAAATTTATTGTGTGTGCTACACATCCGAAATGTTTCCACCCCAGCTCCTGTGATATAGCTTTCTTAATGTAAGCCGCGTTATCAGAAACAGCTAAATTGATTTTATCTGAAATACCCCAAGAATCGGTAATACTTTTCAACTGACATGCTGTATTTTCACTATTGGAAGGTCCCGAAATTACTTCGCAATCCAAAACAATCGATTCAAAATCGAAATTTCTATTAATAAAATGCCCAGTAACAGCCATGAAACTATCATTTCTCGCCGAAGTCCAATTGTCAGTCGTAATGCAGATTGTTTCAAGTTCTTTATTTATGACTTCTTGCACCTCTGTTCTACACTGTTCGTACATTGTTGGTAAAAGTGTATTGGAAAGATATTTTCGAGATGGAAGCGTATAAGAGGGATTTAAAGCATGTGAGTACTGAGTAAAGCCAACGTCTTCTACAATCGAAAATGGTTGAAAATCAAGTATGAAAAGCTGCATTAAATAATAATTGAGCCTTTGTTTCTCTTTTAGAGTAATTTTTTTTACAGTGTAGGTTGATACACTTTGTTGAATTTTTCTCTGCTTTGTTGGTGGGGGCAAAAACTCAGTATTAGTACACGAAGAACTTGAAGTACTGGGAGCATTTTCAGAAATAGGAACAGGCTGTTGAGAACTAACAGAACACTCAGTTATTGTACAAGCACTTTGTTGTTGTGCCTGTTCAATATTAATCGTCGGATGCTTAAACTTCATGTGGGATTTTAAATTTGAAACTGAGCTCTTGTATGAAATATTTTTTTTACACAAATTACACGTTCCAATTTTTTTTACGGTATCGCTATCCGTAAAAAAATTCCATATTTCACTTTTTTTTTGCCGTTGAAAATCCATTTTACTTTTTTATTGCAATTTGAAAGTACTTATTCTTTTTCAAACTTAAACAACACTACACAGTCAAACAATTTAAATTTTCACTCACAACACTAATTACTAATAACATATATTATTTAGCGGTAAAACTTCGTAATGAAGATCAGTCTTTAACGAATATCACTAGTTAAATTTAACTTTTCCGAATGTAGCAGTTAAATTAATGAACTCTAATAGATAGCAATCTGTCTGACTGAACACTGAACACCAAATTAGACGTGGGCGTTATTTCACGTCACTTGTTACAATAACTATAGTCCATCAACGTCGTGCGCGACCGTCCTGCGGGGTGACAGACGGTGGCGGGGACGAGGTACTCAAGATGTCAGCGGGTAGCGGGTGGTGTAGCGAGGAGGGGAAACGCTTCTCTTCGTGTGTGGCCGTGTGCTGGAATGACGCGCTACCTCGCCCCCGCCACTGTCTGTCACCCCGCGGGACGGTCGCGCAAGAGATTGCCGGGTTATAGTGAACGCGGCAAGTAACCGAATCACTAGTTTCGTGTCAACTTAGAACTAGTAATTTTTGTAAATACGTTAATATTGTTAACTGTGACTGTCGGGTGTGATTAGCAATCTACACGTGCAAGCAACCATAATTTGTAAACAAAAGAACGAATTTCTTAGAAAGTTCGTTATGGATGGTACCGATAGTCGAGTTTATTACGGTCTAAGAAAATAAAGCGAGAAAAGAAAGTACACAGCTGCACAATTTTTACTAATTTTAGCATCTTAAAAGGTAATTACTTAATTGTTCATTAGTGTTTGTGAGTTGTGACTGCTAAATTTAGCAACTATCTCAGAATTTATTTAACAGGTGTTGACACTAAAAAAAAATTAGCAGCTAAATTTAGCAGCTTATTAATTTTAGACCCATCTCTACGTGTGGTTTTAGTCGGTCCGAGTCCGACACACCACCCCGCCGCAAACCCCGGTGGGGTGACGGTCCGAGGGGATTTCCACACGTTAAAAAAAAAAAAAAAAAAAAAAAGGCCTGTATGGAGGATGGTCAAGAATTTCTACTTTTCCTGATTCAAATACTCAATCGTTTGACGAGCGCTGTATGAGCTTGCGTTGTCGTGTTGCAGGATGATGCGTGGCTTTAAGTTAGAGTTTCGAAGTTCGGCGATGACTTGTGGTAAACAAACTGCGGTATACCACTCTGCGTTAACCGTTCTACGATCTTCAAGTGCAATAGTCGCAACATGGCCGGTTTTTCCAACGAACGTGTCCACCATCTTCTTTGAAGTGCTTCGAGAACGAACAACTTTAGTCGGCTTTGGCTCGTCTTGAAAGACCCAGATTGTAGATTGTTGTTTAGAATCAGGATTGTAGGCATAGATCCAAGATGCGTCACCACTGTTGATTCGTCGTCGTCGTCGTAGACGTGATTTGACTCTCCTCGGTTGAACCTTTGCAGAGTTTTCTTACACCATCTGACGCGGGCCACCTTGTGATCGTCGAGATCAGATCAGATGCGGTATCCAACGGCAGACTAGCTTTCTTACACCAAGCGCTTAATGCAAGATCTTCTGAATGGTTGTCCCTGAGATGCCTAATAGAGCGAATACGACTCTCGATACGTTACATGACGATCTTCGAGAATTAGTTGTCTCACAGCAATGATGTTCTCTTTTTTTTTTATTTATTTATATTATGATGAAATATGGAAACGACAGAACTTAAAAGGCATGCCGAGTAGGTACCTTTTTTTGAAATGCGTAGCAATTTCTGGACTCAGAATATGGCAAGAACTTTCCGTATTCTAAATAGAACTACTTGAACAAAGAACGGAGAGTTACTAATGAAGTTAGAGTTGTGGGAGGCATATAAGAAAAGGATATTATTTCATGAGCAAAGATTCATTTCGTGATAAGAAGAAAAAAACGAACGAACAAAACACGGACAAACGAGCAGACGGTTCACGTGATGGTAAGTGACTATCACCGTTACTAGATCTCATATTGAGCCAAGCTTTTAACTCTATACGCCTCTACACACCTTAGTCAAAATATGTGGCTTGGCCGTTTCGTGACTGCCACATGGGCGTAAGGGGTAAAATGTATTCACTATTCATTACTTTTCTGTCATAAAATAGTTCTTGTACTTGTAGTAACAAAACAGCCAAGTCACATACTTTCAGTACTTTCAAACTTATGACCTACTTATTCAGGTTAAATTTAAATGCAAACGACTAACTGACAACTATCTAAAGAACAAACAGGAGCATATTTCGATATAATTATCTATCAATCTAAACGGGAATGGTTTACTATACCGTACTACATACCGTGTACCACTACATACAGTGTAAACAGTGATTTAAGAAAACAAAGGTGATAAAACTTCGAAATGTACATTGATCACTAACCATAAAGAATGAGTAAATCTTAGGGTTTATTGCTAATAGTAAGACTGTGCTTTTGCCTTTGCTCAGCGTCTCCTTGAACCTCGCGCCCTAGTGTTAGCAAGAGCAAGGGCTGATAGCCCCCTTGATCCTTGCTTCCTAATACTTGCAAAGACATAAACTCAGCGCCTCCTTGAGATCAAGGTCTACAAAGGCAAAAACTCTCGGCCTAAGCTGCAGCGTTGAAGAGACTAAAATGACTACCAAAAAGTTTATACACAGATTTGCCTTCACTTTTCATAAAAATTGTCACATGATCAACATCTTGCTTTCGATGAGAACTTGACACTCATTATTATCTCCTTTTAAAATCAACGAGAACAAGCAACAAGTTATTCAATATAAAGAATGGCCCTCGTTTTCACTCTCTTAAAATTTTAACAAGTTCTTTCTTAGTGCATGTCTTCATCATGTAAAGAATACATCTTCTAAATTTCACGTATCTACCTATGTAGATATGTCCTATGTACATATATGTAATAGGTAACGAACCAATGCTAGAGATTGTGGTTTGATACATCAGTCAGGACAAAGTCTTTCACATACTTAGGTTTAAACGAAGTGGATATTTAAGCAAATTACACGCTACTTTATTTTTAAACAAGTAACATCAGAAAATAAAAATAGTACCTAGGTAGTACCACGCAACTCCCTTAGGAGCTCCTACACGTTGCGTGGACATTGCTTTGGCCTTTGGGGGCCTAATAAAGGACATATACGTAATGTATAATAAATTAATGAAGAATGGGGCCTTATGTTTAAGTAATAGAAAATGCAAAGTAGATGACATGTATTCAAGCTATAACTAAATAGATTTAGTTAATAAATATAACTGACAACAGTCATTAAAGTTGAGTTAGTACCAGCAACAGTCAAGTTATGCGACTATGACCTACTCGAACTATTACTTACACTGTCCAGTCCACTCGTATGAGCAATATTCTTTCCTAAAATTGCCTTTCTAGTTTACCAACTCTTTCTTTTATACTGAACTGCCAATTTTCCTTACAACTATGGGGATGTATGCGTACCTAGCTGTTGATATATGTTTTTTGTTACACTACGAATAGGTATATTCAACATTTCTTTCATGTTTGCTCGATTGCAAATTGCCTCGTCTTTACATTGACATTTATCTAAGTCCAGATTTTCAATCTACTTCGGTGCGGCCGGGGGGTGTCGTCTAAGGTGGGACGCTGTTGCGCCTTTTACTCTGTAGAGCAGTGAAAGGCGCGGTACCGTCCTACCCCAGGGTGACTACGGTCACTCCGGGATGTGCCTCAGAAATGGGGTACGGCAGGGAGGAGCCCAGAAGTCGCCGATGCGTTCCTGGAGCTCCTCCCGACTGCCGAGATAGGCCGCCGCGGGGTTTAGTGGGGAGACCGGTTCTCCGGGAGTCCCATACACGCCCTGCGTTTCCCCAACGTAGGGTATGGTACGAAAAGCATTCAGTTTTCAATCTAACTTGATAAGTACTGCTGCTTAGTCCACTAGACACAAGGTTTAATAACGAGTAGGTAATTAAAAGTAAAACGAAAGAAATACAAGGTTAACCTATCTTGTTGTTTTAAGTTTTTTTTTTTTCTATAACGTTAAGAAATAGGTAGTTATATTTCTTCTTAATTCTTAATCATAGGAGTCACATCCCACTCATGTCCGTTTTGACTGCTCGGACAGTGTCGTAGAAAAAAAACGACTACGTCACATTACATTACGTAGGAATTTGTAAAACACTCTCTAATCTATAAGAAAATCTTAAATTCGTAGATCCAAGATTCAGAAAGTTGTATGGCCGCGCGGTTTAAATATGGAGAATCGCGCGACAGACTAACCAGTCTACATTTTCTTCGAATTCGTAAGAGTGGTTGGTAAAAAGAATGGGACCTCTACTAAGCTCCGTTTGAAAGAACTGCGTAGCAATGGCTAAACGATTTAAACGGTCCGATAAAGATATACGAACGCTCTTGAATTCGTTATGTTAACGGTAGCTGGTTGCTTTAGAAGGGCCTTTATTTATAATGCCATTTGAAGTTGATCAAATGACTCGTCTGGTTTAAGGCCACATTTGAAATCATAAAAAAACATTGCAAGACAATGTTTCTTACCATTTTTTAATAGACACGATAAAATTCAATTTGGCTACATGTGGCAGGAAATTTGAAATTCGAACGTTGGTATTTTTATTTGTTAATAATGACAATTTTTAAAATGATTATAATCAGCCAGGGCTTCATTTTTCACATTCAAAACTTTTTTCGCATTATTTTCTGAGTGGCCTGGTATTGTATTTCGAGATGTTTTTAATTGTTTTTCTTATATTAAATCAGATCAAAAGTAAATTTTTCGATACTGTCTTTTCTCTTTCCAGCCGTCAGTTGTTACCGACCGTGGCCTGATATTTTTTGTTATAGTTTTTACCTTTAAAAAAAGATTCACTATTTTATTTACTTTTAATTGTTTCCGGAATGCAATGCATGCAATGCATGGAAAATCGCCGGGTCACGATGGCCTCAGCATAGAACATTTTAAGCATGCAGGGATGCACCTGCCTAAAGTACTCTCTCTGTTTTTTACCCTATACCTCGGTCACTCTTATTTACCCGAACCGCTTATGCGGACGACAGTGATACCTGTTGTTAAAAACAAAACGGGTGACACGTCCGATGTAAATAACTATCGACCCATCTCGCTCGCCACCACCGCGGCTAAGGTGCTTGACGGTGTGTTGAACGGCCGCCTTTCAAATCACGTTGAAGTACACGATGCCCAGTTCGGGTTCAGGGGCGGTCTGTCCACGGAGAGTGCCATACTTAGCCTAAAACACACAGTCAAGTACTATACCTCGCGAAAGACGCCGGTCTACGCGTGTTTTCTCGACTTGTCAAAAGCTTTCGATCTTGTTGCCTATGATGTACTGTGGGACAAGTTGGGAGACACGAGTGTTCCGACCGAGTACACAGCGCTCCTCAAATACTGGTATGCTCACCAGACAAACCGGGTGAGATGGGTCGGTACTCTCTCGGATGAGTACAGAATGGAGTGTGGTGTGAGGCAGGGGGGGTTAAGCTCACCTCTATTGTTTAATTTATATATGAACCAGCTTATCGAGCGACCGAGCAGCACACATGTAGGCTGTCACAAAGACGGCACATGTGTCAATAATTTAAGTTACGCGGACGACATGGTGCTGCTCAGTCCTTCGATAGGTGGACTGAGAGAGCTACTATCGATCTGCGAGACGTATGCGGAGATGCACGGCCTTAAATACAACTCTAAAAAGAGCGAGATTTTAATATTCAAAACGCAAAAACAACAGTCACGCCGTGTAGCTCCGGTATATCTCAATGGAGTAGTGCTAAAAGTTGTTGAGAAGTTCAGGTATTTAGGCCACATTGTCACCAGTGACCTTCGCGATGACAGCAACATAGAGCGGGAGCGCAGGGCGTTGGCGGTGAGGGGCAATATGCTCGCCCGTAGGTTTGCTCGCTGCATTGCAGACGTTAAAGTGACTTTATTTAAAGCGTTCTGTCAGTCCTATTCGAGCGGCCTGTGGGTGTCATATACAGAACGGGCCTTCAACGTCCTGTGCGTACAGTATAACAAGGTCTTCAGGATGCTGTTGCGGCTGCCGCGGCATTGTAGTGCATCGGGCATGTTTGCCGAAACACGCACCGACGGTTTTCATGCTCTCTTGCGTAAAAAATCGGCTTCCATGCTACAGCGCTTGCGAAATACCCGGAACAGCGTCCTGAAGATGATTGCTAGTAGGCCAGACTGTCCTATGCAAAGGCACTGGGTGGCAATAGCAATAGGTAAGCATAGTTTAATGCCTTTCTACTATTAAGTGCCGTTACTAACAATACTAATATAGACGTTAAGTACTTTCTGTTTCTAAGCCATTACTAAACAACCTATGGACTGCATATGTCTGAAAATAAAACTATTATTATTATTATTATTAGCTCACTGATGTCATGCTCTGATACGTTTGTTTATTACCACGTCCAAGACATTAGTGGATTTTGCCTTACCCTGCTCGTCCTATGACCGCCATCGTAGCCAGCATTCCAGAATAACTTACATTGAAGTGTAATGGAGTGATTGCTCTGGTAACTGTTAAAGTAATAGAAATATTATTTACAAGTTCCCGTGTATCTCCGAAACTATATCACCAATTGACATACCTAATATGTGGTAAAAAGCAAGTCTTACCTCTGTGAAGTCCTTGTAGTCATAAAACAACGAATTTTGATAACTTTCGACGTTTTCTTGTTTAAATTCGTCGAAACGCAAACATACGTAAAGACAAAATCTCCTATATCCAATAAAATCTAATAGATGTATAGATGTATGGTGCGGCGGACTTTGAATAGGATTAATTAAGCGGACCAGAATTAACCACACTGATTTAAATTACGGGTATATGCAACCACATATTGAGGAGCGCATGCAAATAATTCTCTTTTAAGGGGTATTATTTTCTGACTTGCTTAACAAAAGTGACATAGCTCAACTAATATGGACTATATGAATATAATTTATAGCACTGAGGGATAATGCACCTACATTGTGATGCAAGAATTTTCAGAATCGGTTGACTAGTCTCATAGATTATCCCCTACATACAAAATTACAAACTTTACCTCTATAATATTGCTACGAGCGGGGTATTTAATGGGGGTGTGCTGCTAGGGGTCCCATCTACGTGTAGTAGTGGGCGCACCGGAGCTGGGGTGTTGGTGAGGCGTCGGCATAGGCAATGAACAGAGGGCCATTCATCGGTGATATCTATTATGTATTTCGCAGTCTCTGCGGACCGGCTACTACGAGTCTTCGGGCGTCTGCCTCTCTTTTGAGTCGTACACCGGCTTGGTTAGTGGTGTTAGCGTTCCACGCCGGGTGTTTCGCGTTTAGGTCTCCGGCGATGATAAACGGGTATTCGGCCTGTAGCTGCGTGAACATGTCGGTGAACTCTGGGCGGTCTTTAAGGGTTTCTGTAAGCGGCATACAGTTGCAGCTATGCGCCACCCAGGTTAAGCTCGACACCCAGCGTGACTACGGAGCTGTAGGTCGCCTGAGGAAGTGGTTGGTGTACGACACTTATTTTAACGAGTACTGCCAGACCACAGTAGTCAGCGTTGTTTTCCGGTCTGTCATCCCTCCGATAAACGAGGTATCCCGGAAATTTCGGTTTGTCTGCAGGTCCCAGGAGCGTCTCGCTTATAAGCTCCACGTCGATATCCTGTTCCTGCAGTAAAGGGCGAAGTAGCGCGACTTTTCTTGCCGGGCCGCGGGCGTTCCAGTGAACAATCTTCAAAGGATTACTAATCATGTTGATTAATAAGTCTATTATGCCCTTGAGGGGGCATAATGGATTGTTTATTCCCTTTATTTGTCGTTAGTCTTTCATTTTGGGCAGGGTACCCCGTTAAAGGCTGTTGGTGTACCCCGTTTTAACAGTCATTAGTAAACGCTTCAATATAGATTTCATTTAAGGATTTCAGTGACATCTTTGTTGTAATTCTAAAAAGTTTTAGTTACTTCCGACTCAAAGTTTTAAAACTTGCGAAATAATTGATTCCAATGTAACGAAGGTATCGGGGGTCTGTGATTTTTGCCATGTTTTTTATAATTACTTTTATGGGTTACTTCTTATATTTCTAGAATTTACAATACTTTTTGTGTGCAATAAAGAATATTTATCTTGGTTAAATTAGCCATATCAGTTAAACGTCAATGTTTGATGATATTTTTTGTCTTACTATTAAATTAGAGTGATTTCAAATGTTTTACAAAAAAATTAAATAAAGAACATAACATTCTAAATAAAAAAATATCAAGTTAATAAAATAAATATAATTCCTTTATTAACTTGTTTTTAAAAACTTGCACATTATTTTTTATTTCAAAAACTGTACATTTCTACTCAAAAAACTAAACGATATCAGCGCCTTTAACTGTGAATAATGTCAATATTTTATGAAATGGTCACTAATGTTTGAGAAAATGATGAATTAGTTGTGCGTTTTAGCTGTTTATATCGTCAAACGCTGCTTATTAAGGTACGCTGCTTACTACCTGGCTAGGTAGTAATCAATTTTTCATGACATATATGCAAGGTAGAAGTAGTAACATAATAATTTGGTACTATTGTTACTACCAGTTAAATGGGTTTCAAACCACACAAATAACATCCTTCATTGGATAAGGTAAAGGGATAGGATTATCAGACACAGCATGAGTGTTAACTGATCTACGTACGAAAGCTTGTGAAAACTTTAAATTTTGCATAGAAATTGATTAAAGATGACATAGGTGCCTTCTAAGGTAGTAAAAATAATACGCATATTTACTTTCACAGTTTATGAAATCAATTTAAACATTTGAACACAATGTTCACACACTGTTATTGTAACATGTCTCTAATTATTTTATAGTCGTTAATTTACAAAGTGCTTCAATCACAAATATGTATGCTCAATATCTTTGATAAAGATATCTATTCAAAATTAATTTTATGGACACAAGATTGACAAGCATTTTACAGTACTTTAAATATTTACAGGATCTGATATAATTTAATTTGCAAATGTATTTAAGCAGATCTGAGATTCATTAGCGACAAGTTACAACAATGGAGTTTAAAAATACATTTTTATATTTAAAACAATCATATAAACTAATACATCACTCTTTGTACAGTAGTTACACATTGCTCTAAAGTCTATTCACGAATCAGAGTGGTGTTTTGAAGGTCAATTCTCGTATTAAAAATTCATTCAAAATTCAGTTACGATCTACTCTCGTTTACATTAATGTCATAAAAGGTAGTAGTAAAGTATTAAACATCCAACATTGACTGTAATATGAATATATTGTATTGTGACCAAAAGTGGAATCGGTATTCTGCTAGTCTTAATACTTTACTATGAAAATACCTTATAATACATTTCTGAGATCAAGAGTAGATCATAATTAAAGTTTGAATGAATTTTTATTACTAGTGTTGACTTTCTGGATAATTAAGTCTATCTTATACTAGTAGAATGAACATTTATTGTCCACCTTTCTTCCATTTCTCACCAGGTGTATATTCAGTCATTGGTTTACCTGAAATTCCACAGGTTCCAATACCAACTCTTCCTGTCAAATTGTCTGGAGACGCAAATATACTTTTTGTCCTTACACCAGGCTTTTTAGCAGCCTTAGAATGAAATGAGAGCCACTTATTTTTTTCACTTTCTCTTTCTTCTTCAATTTGCTTAAATCTCTGTTGCTTTTTCTGTTTCTTCTTTTTTAGATATTCTCTGTTGTAACCTTTTCCATGTCTGTAAAAATTTAAAGGCAAAATATAAGTAAAATCCTAATATTGTGCCAAATGAATAATGTTGTATCTTAAAATTTTGTATATAAATTGAATACCGTAAATTATTATCTACTGTACTTAGAATATTCTAATTAACTATATAACTGATGATTTAAAAAAAATTATATGGAGAAAGGATATAGGACAACTATTATGAAAATCTATTAAACATTTTTGTCAACAGTACCCAATCATCATAAAGATACTTACTTGCTTTCATCTCCACTGTGAGGTCGTTTTAAGCCTGTGCCAATTGTTTTTACATCGTCTATATTGACTACTTCTAGTGTGGAATAACCATCAAATTTAACTTTTAAGTTTTCTTCTCCAACATCTTCAATGACAGCTTCATAAAATCTGTAAAAGTAATGATGTTAAGCTATACATGTTTTAATCACTCACAAAAAGTATTCACACCATTAACAAAATGACCTTCTAGCCAGAAGGACTGAAATGTAACTGAGGTAGATTGGATGTGGAGCAAAAGACCGAGGGCTATAGCACATGTTAGAAGAGTAGCAGTTAACGTAAATCTTGATTGATAAAGGATTGCAGTAGCATATTCCTACTCAAAAGTGAAATTTGTATAAAAATAAAAATGAGCAATCAAGCCTAACAATAAAGCAATTCAAACCTTAAAAATACTTTTCTGTAAACAACAGATTATACAGCATGTTGAGAAAACTTATAGATAATAATATTAAGTAGAATCCTTGGAAGAAGGTATTGAACAGACTATAGTCTGTTAACGGTCATGATTTTCTCCTTCAAGTCTGTTTCGAAATGAAAAGGAACTATATTTACTTAGACTATAGTCTTATTTTTAATTAGATAGACCAAAATGTCATTTGGTGAGTTGCCGCGTTTTCATAATGTAAAATAGTGTTGTATTTTACAAGATCAAGTTTAGTTAATTTATTTGTTTGAATTTGCATTGATCAGTAGCATAAGTAGTCTGGATATATAATTGTATTGTTACGAGCGGGGTTTATAATAAATAAAAGTTATCGATTAATTACTTTATTGCACTGTATTTACAAGCACTGACTACAACAAATAGGAAATCACTATGTAACTCGTTAGTCACACTAGAAATTCACTTCAATGTTATAGTGCTATCGAATTTACTAGAATGATCCCTAGTTTTCGTAATTAGTTCGTTCCAGGCAAATGAGAATATGCCAGTATCAATTACGCGTTACTTGCAGCGCCATCTAGGGCTTTAAGTATCAGAATTATTAATCACAATCAGTAGTTCAGCCAACAGTTGCACTTTACGTGACACTAGATGGCGCTGTCCTCCACAATCCATACAATTCATGAACTATCTTTGGGGCGCCTCTTGGACACTTCTGTATCCGATAGGATCCTTCAGCTGTGCACGAAACACGTGTACACGAAACAGTATCACCATATCTTGCCTCCAATGCTTCTAGAAGTTGCTCGTAGGTTATATTCTTACCGAGGGCTTCAAGAAAGGTTAAGGCCTGGTCTCGGAGACCCAATGTAAGCGCGGTCATAGCCTGGGCTTTAGCCCAGCCGTTCGCCGTCATAACAGCCTCAAACTGATCTTGTAGGCTCACTTTGAACCCCCGCACCGAAGGAGCAGCAGTTACCGTAGACGCCGTCGGGTTTTCAACTTTGAGGTTCCAAAAGGCCTTTTTTACGTCTGCAATCTGGGTCTCGGCTTCCGTGAGACGGTTCTCGTGTTGGAGAACCTGATCCTTCACTACACTAAGTTCTTTGCCGAAGGTCTCATGAATGCCTTTTAACAAAAGCATCTCCTCCTCCGGACGGCGATCCTGGTCCACCTTGTCGCACTGCAGCTGCTCTTCTAAGCGACGTGCCTATTCCTCCTGACGGCGAGCCTGCTCCTTCTGACGGCAAGCCTGCTCCTTCTGACGACGAGCCTGTTCCTGCAGCATCGCCATTAGAGCCGTGATATCTGGAGCCGCTGACGATGTGGACGGAGTGGCTTCCATTGCTTGCTGCTGACCCTCCATTGTAGGCAGTTTTGCACCTCCAAACCGCCTCCATTCAGGTTCTTGCTGACGCTCGCCTCTTGTATGGGTGCCTACCGTGTCTTCTTTTGGCAAAACCGGCATACTTTTATCAAACTTCTGACACCAAATTGTTACGAGCTGTTGTTTGTATATAACAAATAAAAGTTGTCGGTTAATTACTTTTATTGCACTGTAATTACAAACACTCACTATAACAAACAAAAAATCACTATATAACTCGTTAGTCGCACTATAAATTTAGCTCGATGTTAATTCGCTAAGTCGTAAAACGATACTGTCTCGTACGGCCAACACGCTCCGCTAGAATGATCCCTAGTATTCGATAGTCCGTTCCAAACATATAAGAATATTCGCGTATCAGTTACGCGTTACGTGATACTAGTGTAGTAGTGACACGCATATGTATTCCATTATCTTATATTCCAACAAAACTGCACTTACATTTAAATTGGTAAGCTAAATTCAAACTATGAAAAAATAAGTCATCCATGTGGATCTGTAATCCTAGAATGAGAGGGAGTGACCACACAACTGGCAAGTATCATACCTGATACAAAATCGCTCCTAGAAGCCTGTTTATGCAACAGGAGGCTTCTGCGCTTCTGGAAGGAGCTTAATTGGCTCACCTAGCCAACTTTTCCTTGACGCATAAAGGACCCTTCTTGAGTCTAAACGCGGAAATTGGAACCCAATAAAATCCGTGTGGTGATGGATACCATATTGGGTCATAAGAGCCGACTTAGGGAGCAAACTACGCAGGACAATAGCACTGCAAAGAGAAGGAAAAACTCGACACAAACCCCATACCTAGATAGTAGGTATATCTGGCCAGCTTGGTATAATAGGCTAAAACCTTCTTTTTAAAGAGAAGACTATCATAGGCTTTTGATGTGATGTGACATAAGTCATTAGTCAGAAGGTTGCCTCTGGGGCGGTTAATACAATCTGTGATAATTGATTAATAAATTAGTTTTAATTAATTATGTTTATTTTTAAATTGATTATTGTTAAATAAAATATGACTATTCTTTACAATTGTAGGTGCTTCTTAATTAAAAAAAAACCTTTTTTATTTAGGAAAAACCCTGTCCTGTTAATAGTGCAAATCAATAAAGTCAATAAATTGATTAAGTTGAGCCATATTACAATGCTATGCTTGCACACTTGAAACATCAAAAAAATTTGATCATTTGGAGCTGTCAGTTTAGTCTATCTAAGTAAAAATCAGACTATAGTGCATAAACATGTTAAAGTGCTAAAATTACCTTAGGAGTAATCTTGATTAGTTTGCAACAAAGATAAATTTGAATTACTTACTGCCCATCTGCTCTCCATTTTGCCATGCACCTTTCACCAACTTGCCAGCCTGATAAGTACTTCTGTGTAACTTCATCATCCTCCGCCTCCAACAGGGATGCTGTAACATCATGATCATTACTAGAACCATGAATATTTGATACTTTTGAATCACCATCTTGAGTTTTTATTAAATCTTGTGTTAATGCAATTACTTCTTCCAAATCAGCCTTTAACTTCAGCAACTCCTCATTCTGGGCATCAGTAAGTAAAGCTGCTTCCACCTAGAACAAAATATATACACATATTAAATAGTATCCATAACAACTACAGTCAAAATCTAATATATTTTTACCACAAGTGTCTAAAAATATGTTGGAACTGAACTGATGTGCAGTAAAAAACATGGTTGATTGATATGGCTGCTGTAGTTGTATAATTGTGTTGCAGTTATTAGCACCCACCTTAGGAAGACAAGTAGTAAATATTATGTAGACTATCAAGGACCAAAAATATCTATGTAAATCAGTAGTCCTTAAATATGAGTATGTGTCAATATTCTTTAAATATGTAGTCAATCATAATTTCTTTCACACTGCCAAATTTCAAAAAAGTTGTTAAGTGGTAGTTTAGGATTAACAAACAATCCGAGTCAAGAGGTCTAAGTCTATTTCAATCAATATTATTGTTCAATTTATTGTTAAACTCACATAGATATTATTCCATTTTTAGTTTAATATAATTTTCTGTATTATGCATGATGTGACATCTTAATGATGTGCATTAATCTCAATATTATATATGTATGTAGGTCTTAATCATTGTGTTGCTGGCTATTGAAACAAATGAATGTGTGGCAATTACCTACACTGTGCAATAGTCATGTTAAAAGGTATTGAAGAGTTTAATATCCAAATACCGTCAGACAGAAAGTCCATTGAATGCTATTAAACGGTGGAGCAGCTAGCCAGAACAAAAACAGGGTACTGCTTTAATAGATTAAATGGTTTAATAATTGATGCTGAAACGACACCACAGATGAGCTGGTAAAAAAGGGCAAACCACACTAGCCACTTATCCTTCAACCAACATTCTGTATACAGCAATGGACTTGTGAAGCAAACAACCAAACAACTGTAGAAACAGGCTTAACCATTCATCATCATCATGATCATTATCATTATCATCAACAGCCTTTAATAGTCCACTACTGAAAAATAGGCCTCTACATAGAAACGAAGTTTTGGCCTACTATACCACATTGACTTAGACATTCATTATAAAATATGTAAGCATTAACAGCTTACAATTTGGGTATCTATGGCCACAAGTTTTTAGTATTTTACTAGACGACAAACAAGTGATATGTCTATTTAGAAGTTTTTTCCTCTGTTCTACCACGGAGTGCATATTGCTAGGGCCTCAAGTATAACCCCTATATTAAAAATCTGGTAAAACCCAACAAACGTACAGCGGTACCAGTGGCCACCACCACCTTTAGCCTGCTTTGTGACAGATAGCCCTCACCGCAGTTAAGACAACATTATCACAGTATGATAACCATTTATTTTAAAATACATTACATTTTACTATTTGTTAGGAAACATTTTATCACGATTTCTGCAATGTATATTTATTTACGGACAGAGTGCACACACATTTTACTTTATAATATTTTTGATCTTTTATTAAACAGGGTCCATATATTAACGAAACCTTTGTAAATGTATATATTCATGGTTTTGAGTGTACCTGAATGTGGTTTACTTACCTGCTGCAATTGTAGTTTATAGTTTCTCAAATCATCTGCCATTATTAAACGTCAATACTGAGATATGTTAACTAATAGTACCTAACATCAGGAACACCACTAATATTAAATTCAATGAAGTATTTTAAAAATACCACGACAATCCACTACACTTCAAAATTGTCTACATAAACTATACGTCTACGAACGATTCAATTCATAGTGGACTAGAGTGAAGATTGTCTGATGAATCTGATGATTTATGTGAGAGCCTCTGATGGTCACTATTTTTAAGCATGGCAACACTGCATATTGCCAATCTTAAAAATAGTTAAATTAGTGAGGCTATCGAAAACGTACGTAGTATGTACCCTATATATACGTGGTGTGGGAAGGAACTTATACCTTTATTTATAAAAAAAACTACGAAAAATTTATTATTCTAACAATTAAAACTAGAGCTCGCCTAGTAATTGAATTAAAACCATAATTTAATAAGTTTTAATTTATTGTCCTTAATTCATTTACGTGGAACCGTCATTTTATAGATTTAAAAACAAAAAAATGGAAAGAATATATAATAATAATGATATTCTTTCAAATTAAGCTTACGTTAATTCCAGAATTCTCTGGGTTCTGCACTAGTAGATACTGACAACAAAATTGAAATTAAAAATAATAATCCAATTCATGCGCAGTGTGTGTGTGTGTAGGTGCTGTGTCGGAATGTATATATGTTTATATATATATATAAGCCTTTACACTATGTATATAGTGTAAAGGCTTAAATATCATGATAAATTAACATTTTTCGATTTTATACAGTATACGCGGAAAGCTCCACGTTGTCGTTTTCGCGAAATTTTAAATTATATCGACTAAGTCAGACGAAGGTCTGACTTAGTCGATATAATTGACATTGTCTGAACCTCAGATTAAATAAAAGAGCTTTTTTATAAATTTATTTTGGTCTGGGGTCTGAACGATAAAAAAATTAAGACGATAACAAATACCTAACAATAATTTAACTAGACTAGACTGTGGAGGGAAAGATTTACGGTGTCTCAAAAGTGTTTGATAACTAAGGCAGCGCTACAGTAGCATCGCAGTAAATTCTAAGGAAACTTCAAGAAGTACTAGGTACATGAGAATAGAAAAATATGTTAACAAGAAAAGTATTTATGAACTATTTTGGCCCACGTTACTAACTTCTTATTCACCAAAAATATCACATTTTTAACTCAAACCCCTTCACAGTGTCTACATACCTAAACATAACTTTTGGCAAACACTACCGTTATGCTGTCGGTCAGATTTTTTAAGTATTTTATAATAATATAATATATAAAAATGTTATGTTAGTTTGTGTACGCTTCAAAAACTCAAAAAGTTTTGCACTGATTGAGCTTATGACACGATATATAAACAGCTTCAAGAATTGTTTTATAATTTTGTACCTTATTTCTCATTTTTGCAATTTCAATGTGCCAACGCGAAAGGTAGGCAGGGTACAGATAGTTTATTATGTATACCTACTGAATAGCATTTGTTTTTTTTAAATTAGCATTGCAGTTAATCCGTAATTGGTGCATCAATCGGAAGAATAAGAAATCAATACTGGATACTATTAGCTCCAAATGAACTACTGAACACAATATTCTGCAACAGTAAACATCTTAAAAGTCCAATATCTTGAAAATGGTTAGGTTTGAATTATGGTACTTCATAGTAAGATCGTTAGGGAAAACAAGTTCTTGAGTGGAGACCGCGTCTCGGCAAACGTAGTGTAGGACACCCACAGGCCAGGTGGAGTGACGATTTGCGCAAGATGGCTGGCAGGAGCTGTATGCGAGAAGCCCAAAATCGATCAAAGTGGCGTGCAATGGGAGAGGCCTATGTCCAGCAGTGGACTGCGATAGGCTGATGATGATGATGATGATACTAAGACCTATCAGCAATGATGGCAACTGCAACCTCCTAAGCTATCTGGGTCGACTTAACCAGTAAACCCGTAATTATTTTTGGTCTTGACAATATTATGACCATATATGAGCCTATGACAAAGTATTGTACGACATTCTTTTGAATAAACTAAGCGGTTCTGGTATTCGCGGCCCAGCTTTTCTATTTTCTAAATATGATCGAAACCATGTGGGTTTCGATCATATTTAGAAAATAGATCACAAATGGTCCAAATTGACCATTTCGACCCCAATACGAATGAGGTTAAAATAGTCCGGTCTGAAAAAAGGAACATAAAGTGTTCAATCCCGCAGGGCAGCGTGTTGGGTTGTGTGCTATTTCTGATATACATCAACGACTTACCAAAAGTACTAAACAAGGAACATACATTACCTGTCCTATTTGCTGATGATATATCAATACTAATTACTTATGACAAAACCACAAAGCCGACACCACTACTTCAGGAAACTCTAGATACAGTAAATAACTGGCTCAAAGACCATAACTTAGAAATTAACTATAACAAAACAAAAACTATCCAATTTAGAACATACAGAAACACCCCCGTAAACATCGACACAACATACAATGGCACACAACTAGAAACTGTAGATACATTCAAATTACTTGGTATAACTATAGACACACACATCAACTGGAAAGCACACATCGAACATACAAAAAATAAACTGTCTCGATTTACATATGCTCTATTCCAACTTAAATGCAGCACAAACGAAAAAACCGCACTGTCAGCATACTACGCATACGCATACTCCTCAGGATTTATTTATATTACAAAAGAAATGTATTAGAATTATCGGACAAATTGGAAATTGTGATAGTTGTAGGCCCTTCTTCATTAAATATAACATCCTCACACTACCATCATTATACATATTTGACATCTGCATATTTGTATCCAAGAACATGAGTCACTTCGCGAGAGTAAAAGACAATCACAATTTAAACACACGCCACAGAGACAGACTATACCTACCACCATCAAGAATTAAAATGCTACACCAGAGCCCTTACTACCTACATGGCTGTAAAAATATACAACAAATTACCTATCCACATAAAAAATGAAACGAAGACTACACTATTCATTAAAAAACTAAAAGCATTCTTAATTACAAAATGTTTCTATTCTGTTAAAGAATACATTGAGGAAAAAAACACTTAACAAACTACATTTCTTATTACACGGAAAACAGAAAGCATATACCTAAGTAAAAATCATAAAAAGAAAAATCGTACGTGATGCACGGAAATGCTAGGGACAGTAGGAAAATGTGTATATGTATTAGTGATGTAGAATGTCGGGTGCCTTCGTATTTTTGCATGCTTTGTTCGATTGTTATACTGTACTATTGAGTCACTTAATTTGTATTGTTCGAAAAATGCTTGTACTTGTGTAACAATTTATTCTTCTGCGTTCTCTCTCAAATTTTTGCAATGCCTGGAAAAGGCTTCTAAGTTGGGACTACTACATATAATATTATAAGATCATTGATGTACACTTGGTTGGCAAATAAAGATTTGATTTGATTTGATTTGATTTGATTATAACAACACAATGTAGCTGAATGTGGTTTACTTACTTGTTCCAATTGCACTACATAATTTTTTAAATCATCTGCCATTATTAAACACCAATACAGTTATATGTTATCCAATACTATCTAAAATAAAAACACGCCAATAAACTGCACTTCAAAATTGTCTACGTAGACTGTTCACCCCACGTCTGCACCACTTCACAAGTTAAGCTGGACTGGCGATTGTCTGCGATAGCCTCTGATAGTGACAGACCCTAACCATCGGTACGGGTGGGTCAATTCTAAGAAAAGAGTAACTTAGGATACCTTTATCTAATTTAAAGAATAGGAAAGAAACAATGTGCCTCAACAAGTAAAGACATTAGAAAGGATAACCAACTTAGGATACCTTTATCTACTTTAAAGAATAGGAAAGAAACAATGTGCAACAACAAAGAAAGACACGGCGCATTGTAATTAGTTGAAAGTTTTTTTTTAATTTACTACCAGAGCCCCTAGTCTTATCCCCATTTGTCTCAATTCCAAGGAATGTATTGCACTAAGAAAGGATTTAATTTACTTATTTATCGCGTAGTAATGGTGCACGAACGGAATCGGCTCGAATGTTCGTATTTAAAAAAAATGAAGTTAGGTAGGTATAGTACCTGTGGAAGGAACGACTTGGGCAACCGAGCGCTGGGCACGCCGTCATCGCGGCGGTAAGACCCTTTCTGGAGGATTGGCTCGAGAGGCATCACGGAACCCTCTCACACCGACTGACGCATGTGATCACTGGGAAAGGATGTTTCGGGGATCACTTGTGTCTGATCCGCAAGGAGCCAACGCCTGAGTGCCACCACTGCGATGGTCGAACCGTGGACACGGCACTCCACACGCTGGCAGAATGCCCGGCGTGGGTAGAGCAGAGACCTCGTAGCGGCCATCGGAGTGGGAGTTATCTCACTCGATAACCTGATTGCAGCTATCGTGCGGAGCGAGAGTGTGTGGAACTCTGCCGTCTCCTTCTGCTAGCATGTTATGCTTGCGAAGGAGATGGCGGAGCGGGACCGGGAGAGGTTTAGAACTCTCCCGGCCCGCCAGGCTCGGGAACAAACCAGGTACCGCAGACGCCTCAGACGCCGGAGGTCGTAGAACGACCTCCGTCCTCCATAAGCGCAGGCCTTAGGGCGCAGGGTGACATGTGAGGCCATCTGTCACCCTAGCAGAAGCAGGCAGGGGTGGCGGCGAGCGCGTTGCGAAGTGCGCGCGCCGTTCCGGGAGCACAGAGGGAACATGGGGGTTCAAACACATTGGGGGGGTCGTCTACCCGCCGTAGATGGCCCGAGGTATGTCGGGGCACCAGGGATTTTCTTTCTAGGGTACACCTGGTTCCCCGACTACTGGGTCCGATCACCGGTGGGTGATATCCGAGGGGATTTCCGCATAGGAAAAAATATATTGTCTTGTTTCTAAATATTTTTTGTTCATATTTTGCAAATCGTCTAGAAATAAAGTTGAAGATTATGTGGGTTAAAGATACGTCGAAAAAAAAAAACATTGTAATAACAAGAAAATGTAGCTGAATGTGGTTTACTTACCTGCTCTAATTGCACTCCATAGATTTTTAAATCATCTGCCATTGTTAAACTTCAATACATTTATTTGTTGTCGAATAGTATCTAAAATAAAAACACTTCACAAATCTAAAATTTAATTAAGTATTTGAAAAGTACCACGCCAATAAACTGAACTTCAAAATTGTCTACATAGATTGTTCAAACACGACTAGACCACTTCACAAGTTGGGCTGGACTGGCGATTGTCTGATGCGATAGCCTCTGATAGTGACAGACCCTAACCATCAGTAAGTACGCGTTGGTTTATTCTAAGAAAGGAGTAACTTAGGATACCTTTATCTACTTTAAAGAATATGAAAGAAACAATGTGCCTCAACAAGTATAGACACGGCGCATTGTAATTAGTTGTAATTTTTTCTGGAATTTACTACCTAGTCGTATCCCCATTTGTCTCAATTCCAAGAATTGTTTAGCACTAATGTTAACTACTGATAAGGTAGTGAGGGCAATATAAAAAGAAAGTATTCAATTTACTTATTTATCGTGTTGTAATGGAGCACGAACGGAAACGGCTCCTTTGTTTGGATTTGAAATAATGAATATTTGTGATTTATAGTTAAGCACAATGCAAAAAGCATATATTTATTCTATTATTGATATTAGGTAGGTATATCAAGGTTTTTTCTCCTGGTCCACAGTGATAAAATAATAATACTAATGAGTTTACAAAAAATAATTTATTATTGAATGTTTAGGTTATTTCATATTACATCATAGAAAAGGTTTTTTTTTCAAAAATATAATAACAATCTCTTACATTAGAATCTAATAATTATATAAAAATAATATAAATATGTACATTTGTTAAAATCAGTCAAAAATTTACAAAATATTTATAAAGCGATTTTTTTTAAATTTTATAATCGTTGGAAGTGGTTTAAAAAAATCGGCAATATATCTAGGCCAATTTAAAAAAAAAGACATTACTTAAAGCATTCGATATTTTGTCATGCAAGTGTAAGTCAACATTTTTCTTAAATCCAAGGTACCTACTTAAGGGTACCATTTTTTAGATTTAGTAGAGACTTAGTAAAAGTTAAAATAAATGTAGGTATAACTGTTATGTGTCACAACTTTAGACTCTTCCGTTGTTGAACATTAGTATTATTTAGTTTAAAATTAATGTTGTTACAACAGGCTTTTAGTACTAAATATAGTTTAAGGCTTTACGCGATTGTGGTAATAATATTCTATATATTAAGTTAAAACGGAAACATTGAAAAGAAATAGTATGTAGAAGTACTTAGAAATAGTAAGAAGAAAAAGTTGTGCTAAAAACGGCACATATTTCGCATAAGTTGCAAATTTTATGTACTATTACAAAGATTTTGTACTCCGATATTATTTTTAATGACAATGCAAGGATTCGGATATGTAGATAGTATAATTAAAAACCTAATTATTTTCTAACAATTAGTAGTACCCAGTTCAACGCTACTGGTCACACATGAATAAAAAAATCACCTTCACTATTTTTCGTCACTAAATGTAGTACTTGAAAGCTATTTTACTTTTATTAAATAGATTTTTATGGGTTAAATAATACACAGGTTGTTAGGGGAGCCCTAGCGAAACAACAGGCGACAGTATTAATGATACTTTAGATGACAAGTCAGGAAAAAAGATATAGTCAATAAAAAATTACGCTGCTGCTCTACCTTTACACTCCACCATATTGATTATCGACACAGCTAAATGAAACGAAAAACTTTAAAAACAAAACCACTTTACTAGAAAAACGCCATGAAAACGAAATCAAAATAGCTGATCCGGAAGGTGATGTAGCGTGAATGCTGATAAAACATTGTAAAAAGATGTTAATTTTTCATCGGGATCGATTTTTTTCTGTATTATTATTTGTCTTCGTTTTCGGGAGCGTTTCCCGTACATTCTGTACGTAATTAATTAACAATGTTCACAAAATACACCAAATGATTAACTTAACAGAGTAGCGATATTGATATCTAATAGAAAGTTAGTTAAAGGAAGAATGATTAACGAGCATTATAAAAATCTTCATGGTCGATCGATCCAAAAACATCATGTTCTGAATTCATGTCCACATATTAAATATTCCTGTCATTATTTATAAATAAAAAACAATCAATATTTAAAGTGTCTATGTAGATATTATGAATATTACTGTAGTGGACTCTTTGCTGTATAATTAGCTTCATGAAGTATTTGAAATATGGACCATAGGAGGAAGTAGAATTTCACTTAGTATTAACTATCAACACTGACAAGGTGACTTTGCAGCGCCGTAGACTGGTGGTACCGCCGACGGGACGCAAAATCTTCGTTGTCATCGTTTAGTCTTTCTTGTTCTACAGAAATGTCTGCGTGCACTGGGGTCACAACTAACTGCTCGTATTCCAGGGGACGTTTTCTGTGAAACATTTATTATGAATGCATCAAATTTTAATGTTAATCTCGCAAAAAAATATAGTACCCAGTTAAAGATTATGAACTTTATAATGTGTTCGTATATACGTAGTCTAGATTATGGTATAAATTCTTCACTTCAGAAAAAGACATTCACAGAGAAATCCTTACCCAATCATCTGCAGGAAAGATATTTTCACCCAATGGAAGAATCGGAATTCTGAAGCCCGCCCCGGCTTGAGCGCGGGATTGGCCGCGCCAATATACAGCCAAACCAGCCACAAAATGGTCAAGCACCCGAGAGCGTAACCCCAGTGAACGAGGAACATAAGTAACAATTTTATTGCCACCTGAAACAACATAAGGTTTATATTATACCCATAAATTTGGCAACAACAAACTGTAAGACTTGTTAATAGATGTACACAGCTGTGCAGTTTTTACTCACTCCATATAACGTGTCATATTATCTCATAGAAAAAACAATGGTAGTTGGGGACTAGATAGCGTGCACAATGCCGAGGAATATTGTTATTGATTGTGATTGTTGGTGATGGAAAAGAGGGGCAAACATCTGATTACCAACGGCAATTAAAAACTTGCAAGTGCCCACGAAGTACTTAACGATATGTTATCGTACTCGGAGGTACTGATGCTTTTTTTAATACGTGCATACTTTTTTTTGTTATTTTTAAGTTTTGGGTATACTTTCACCGTCCATTAAGACAAAAAATCTTATAAGAAGGCGAACTTAACTTAGCCACAACAAAAAATATAAATAAATATTAGAATTTGTTAAAGAACTTTATCATTTTTTACTATCGATTTAGGTATTTATTTATCATCATATCATCAGTCAAATATTCGCTATTAAGTATATAATAAACCTGTATGACCAGCCTATAGCCATTTTAATCTGTCGATGATAAGAGCTAAATTGGGTCTATACTTTTATTCTCTAGTGTATTTGATTAGTTTTTATAAAATAAACATACTTACACCAACTAAAGAGAGCCATCTGTTACATAGAGGTGAGTACCAGTTCTTATTTTTCGAATGTACACTGACACTCGGTCGTCGTACAGAACTAACGTCACCGTTAGACATCCGTCCATTCATTATAGCAGAATCTGTTGGCGAAGGTGTAAATTCCTAGAAATAATTATCGCAGTTTACAAAATTGAAAAGATAACAAATGTATTCATTCGTCATAGAAAATTGTTTTGCATTATTAATCATCACAACTAACGATAATTAAAGATAATTAGGACAATTTTACTGAAGAATTACTGGAATTTGTAGGCACATTACTTTTGTTCCATGATATTACAAGTTCGTATCAAAAAATAAGAATTAAGAGACTTACGCCAACATTTTTATGTCTGATCCTTTCAGGAAACAGAAGATCTAGATCACTCCCTGTGGCACCATAAACCTGAGTACTATCACGCTGTGAACTACCCTGATACCTGTAATGTATTAAATTTTGAAAATTATATAGTTTATTTAGGTAACTGTTTTAAATTGATATTTTAATGAATCTGGCACAAATTTAATAAAATAATAAAGAGTGAAAAAATAACACGTACCTCATTTCGCGTCTATGTTGCAAATCAAAAGTCTGAGCAAGAGCAAAGTAGGAATAATCAATGCTAGCGTAAGTAATGAGAAACGGCATGGTGACAATAGGTGCGAGTTGATTGATGTCACCAATAATGATAAAAGTGACGGTTACTACAGCCACTACAACCATCGAGTATATCGGTACCTTGTTTGGACCTCTCTGTAAACAACACATATAGTGGTTTTTGCATGCGTCTTATCTACATTTTAGAAATGATTATGGTTATAGCAATACTACGAATACTATGTGCGACAGATTAGAAAATGTACGTGAATAATTTGGTGAATTTCGAGGCTAGACTAGACGCGCACTACGAATTCTCAGGCAGCGCTGCGTTAAACGAGTTGTGACTGGTTACAGACTTATAAAGAACATCTATCAACTTTAATTAAAGTATAATAAGGTGTAAGTCCTAACCTCAACGTTTCCAAGTCGCGTGGCTCGCGAATTTAATACTCGTAGTGCGCTGATAGCCTAAGGCTAGGTTATACTTTGAATATTGGAGAAATATTAGGTCCTTACATATGAAATTGGCGTTTTGTACGGTTCGAATATAAAGTCAATTTTTTTTTGTAAAATATATTTAATTAATCAAAGTATGCACCGTTGTTATCTATGCACTTTTGCCATGTCATAGGTAGTTCATTGGACCCTTTAGTAAAAAAACCATGTGGGCGAGAATCAATAAACTCTTTGAAGGCGGTTTGGACTGCCGCATCGAAGTTGAATTTTTTTCTTTGTAAGAAGTAGTCCAAATTCCGGAAAAAATAGTAATCTGTTCGAGCAAGGTCCGGGGAGTACGGTGGATGTCGCAGACATTCCAATTGTAGCTCATCTAACATAGTGGTTGTTTGTTGTGCAGTGTGTGGTCTTGCGTTGTCGTGAAGCAGCAGTGGCCTAGCGATTAACCATTCTCGGTTGTTTAGAAGTTAGTTCTTCCTTCACGGTTTGCAGTTGCTGACAATAGATATCTGCTGTAATCGTTTGGCCAGATTTTAGAAAGCTGTAGTGAACGACACCAGCGGTAGTCCACCAAACACTCACAAGTACCTTTTTCTGAGTCAATTTTCGTTTAGGGCAGGATTTGGGTGGGTCTCCAGGGTTCAGCCATTGCAACGAGCGCTTCCGATTATCGTACAGTATCCACTTTTCATCACAAGTAATGATTCGATTAAAAATCTCTTCATTATTGTGTCGGTTGAGCAAAGTAACACAGCAGTCGACGCGTGTTTGCAAGTTCGATTCATTCAATTCATGAGGTACCCATTGTTCAAGTTTTTTTACTTTCCTGATTTGCTTCAAGTGGATTAATACACTTTAACACTTATCCCGAAGCCTGCAGCTATCTCTGAAGTGCTTTGTGATGGATCCGCTTCCACAATAGCCTTTACACATCACACCGCGCCGTACACATCATTAATCCTTCGAGATGTTGCTGCAGCACTGGTGCCACGGTAGAACTCGTAAATATACCGATATTTCATGTTTTCCATTGTGCGGTAATAAGCGACGCCAAAGAAAAAAATAATGAGGAAAAAACAAATAATGACTGTTTTTAAAACTCAAATGTACCAGCTAAATGAATTTATAAATTTGAATTTGGAATTCTTAACCAAAGAGGAGATATTTCAGATTAAAGTGGTCATTACGACAAAACGCTAATTTCTGATGTAAGGACCTAATATGTTATTACAATGTCGAAACAAACGCAGAACAATTAAGCCTACCACACATTATCTCAGGTTAATTTAATTTAATGAAGTTATATTAAAAACATGTATCTTCATCAACTATTGGTAGTGTATTAGTGACATCCACACCAAAATAGATGTAGACAATAGAGAATGTCACTCTTCTATCTTTCGTATCTCATATCTATACAAGCAAAGGTGGTTATAACATAATATTTGTGAAATATTTACCCCGTGTCCGAGAAATGCTAGTCCAGGTATGACTTTCTCTTTTGCAATACTCTGTAACACTCTTGGCGTACCATACATAGCTCCTAGACATGAACTCATAGAGCTAACATATAAACCCGCTAACAGCAGGACAGTTACAGCTGATATGTCTGCTGTTATAGAAAAGTTATTGAGCAAACCTTCTCTGGTCACTGTTGCTGCTAATGTTATGATGAACATCAAATATAAGAATGTTCTGAAACAAACACAGAATTCTTAGTAAGGAAAAAAATTATATCATGCTTAGTAACATTATTTAATAAGCTAATTATCTCCCCCAGAAACCCTGTTTGGTACAGTCATCCTTCAAAAAAATTACCTCTGAGTAGGTACATTACTATGTGTAAATTAATTCCGACTAAATATAATTATCTAAAGTTAATAATTATAGTATTTATAGTACATCTATTTCAAAACATTGTAAACGTGTCTGTTTCATAAGTTTGTGTATACCTAAAAATAATGCAACTATTGTTTAATAACCGCTTAAACTAATGCAATTGATTGATGTAAGTCTGCAGCGTTGCATTCTTTTCAGCGATTAGTCCGTAATCTACGGCGTCTGCCGGTAATTATTCTGGCAATATAGTACTTAAATCCATTAATATTATGAATTACCTACGTATATCTGAACAGATACGTAGTTAATTTATAACATGTTATCATTATTACCCATCAAAAGTCATTAAAAGTTTAATTAATATCGAACATTAAATATAGATTGACGTAGAACGACGTAGACATTGAAATTATATCGCTCTTTAACACTTGTTAATTTGCATAAATATCTTCCCCTATGCCGCCACGTCACCAATGTTAAATAACAAAAATAAAACATTACAAAATAATCTGGTACAAATAACTTTAATCAATGATGTCATGAACGAGTATCGTGGTCCGCAATAACAGCGTAAATACTAAGCGTAAGTAGCTACCTGCGTCAAAAAAGGAAAAAAAAATAACGCCAACGTAATAACCAGTTGTTAGAGAAAGATGAATATACGTCATTAGTTACGTTACGATTAATTATCTAAACAGAATGTTGGTAATTACTAGGTATCTTAATAATTCACCATTACAGGTCAGGGTAGGTCCCTCTTTCCCACTGAGAACTCTGGGCACGTGCCCCGGGCCCTCGACCTGTAATTCCTGCCAGATCACCAATCGATAATCGATATTTATTACCAAAAACCATAGGGGACGGACGGGCAAGACGGAGAGGGCGGGTAAAATGAATAATCGTTTTAAATAGCTGGTCAGTCGATAGAAACATTCTAGACTGACATCTATCAATCCATTATATAACTACACTTACCGTTATCGATAAAGCGTCGGTCATTCCTACTTGTGAGTATTTTTTTTATAAATATCGACATTTAGGAAAAATAACAATTTTAAACCGTGATTATTTTAATGTGGTTGAGGACGATGCAGATCAAGTTTTTTAATCGCTGTAGTTTGTAATAATTTAAGGTTATGTTATAAAACTACCAGATGGGCAAATCGGGTAGATACAAACAAGATACTGCAGTTACAAAAAGAAAAGCTACAATTGATGTTTCAGGTCCTTCCGGTATAAAAAACAAAGACGAACAAAAACGTTGGGAAAATCATTTTACCTGAGTACCGTATGCAAAGAAAATATGTTTACCCGCCGACAGAAGATTGGTTACAATGTGGGATCTGTCAAGAGTGTTCACCCTTGACAGATTCCACATTGTAACCAACCTAGACTACCATCTATCCTGAAACCTGTTCTTTATATTCGGGAAGCAGTTCATATTTTTGCGACGATTGTTTTGATTAAAATGCTTTTTCCAATCAGTATTCGCTTTGCCCGCCCTGGTAGGGCAAAACGGATAATGTTGACTTATTGCTTTTTTTTTAATTTTTAGGAAGTTCTTTTTTTTGTATTTTACTTTAATTATCCAAACAATTATTAACCAAAGTTAAGAATAGATATTATTATAATATATATTTGTTATTTCATTTTTAAATTAACATTTCATTTTTGCCCGTCCTTCCCCTATTTATTTCGAAAAAAATCAGCGATAATGACTGAATATAATACTTTTTGTCTATAGATTTTTTGTCATATATTTTTTAGTCACTGACTAGAGACTAATTATTATTCTGTTAGAATTATTATCCTAATGTGCTCAGGGCCTCTAATAGGGTAAAGACGGCACTGGGTGCGGGCAATGCATCTATATGTCATAGTCTGTATTACAAAATGATGATGGGCCACTAGACAAACATCTAGTAGTTAGTGATCCTGACTGCTAGACTGCTAGCTGCCAGAGGTCGTGGGTTCGATCCCACCCATGACAAATATTTGTATGATGAGCATGACCATTTGTTCTGTCTGGGAGTAATGTATCTATGATATGTTTGTATTTACCAATATACAAGTATGTTAATCAGCGTTTGGTTACCATAATACAGGCTCTGCCTAGTTTGGGATCAGACGGCTGTGTGTAAGATGTGTCAGTTTATTGTTATACCGGAAATCTGTTTTAAATACTTCTTTTTAAGGGTGGCTGTACCAAACTCCTTAAAAAGGTAAGAAATATGTTCCCAAAATTAAGTAATGTGTGAACTATGTGCATTGTGCCCTCAGTGATAAAAAATAATTAGCCTTTCAGTGAATAAACTTGATGAGGAACTCGTATCTTGAACATTATAATAATGATTATAAGAAATATTACTATTTTTGTTATTCCCATGAAACTAAATTCATTATAGGTACTACAAGTAGCTATTGTACAAATATCAAAATCAGTTTCAATATGTCCCTACATTTCACACATATATTACACTGATGATGAAAAAAGTAAAATAAAAATAAATAAATAAAGTATTAATATTGATACAATATTTTTATAATATATTTTTCTCACCCGGTGCCAATGGCTGCCAAAGAACCATTAGGTATATTAGTTGAAGGACTTTTTAAATCTCCACTCATATTGATACCCGCTAGTATGCCTGTGATTGTGGGGAAGAAAACTCCAAAGCATCTGAACCAAGTGTAATTGTCCACATATGCAGGCCATGTGTTATTTGCTATTACACCACCAAGCCACCCTTTGAACTCTGTTTGCACTGTAACATGTGTTAATCATTATAAAGTTATGAACAAACTTCGTTTATTTAATTATACAAAAAATATACAAATATAAACATAGTAGGAGATAATTATTATTATTATTATTTTTTTAAAAAGACAACGCCCGCATTAGGAATATATATTCCTGTGTCGCGGGGGACTTTACAAACATACATGAAACGGACACAAAGAACACCCAGACTCAGAACAACAATTTGTGGATCAAAACAAAGTGTTGTCCCATGTGGGTTTTGAACCCACAACACTCGGCGTAGTAGAAAGCGGCGTGGCAACCACTTAAACCACTACGCCATCCGTGCACTATTTAATTTTGGTCCACTAATTCTGATGTCATGCCAAAATTATTAACCAGTTAGTAGTAGTAGTTAGTTTTGAACACAATGGGTAAGATCTTAAGTTGGTAACTAAGTTATTACAATATATGTAACATTACTTACATTTTTCGTCACTAGGTACGGTTGTGAATGAACCAACAAAGAAGTCAAGTGCTGCTAACATTATGATCATGAGAAGAGCAAACTGTAGTTTGACCACCCACTTCACTCCAGCAACATTTATAGTGCCGAGTAGTAGAACAGCAGCTATAGCAAAACCTCTGGAGGTCCATTTAAAGCTTTCACTTTGTCCATCATCAATGATAAATCCTGCCATGGACTCACCAAAACCGAACACGTTTAGGGCACAACCTACAGCCTAAAATATTTATGTATTTGTCAGTAATGAGAATTGAAAGACTTTCATTATAGTAAGACATACAGAAAACTGTTTTAAAGCATAAAATCTTTCCTTTTTCCTGCAATCTTTGAAATGGGTCATAGGAAGATGGGGATGGGTCTTAAGGGTGCCTGGTGTTAAACTTGGGTTGGTTAGATTGTAGGTGACATGTCAAAATTTACACATTGTATGTGACTGGCATAAGGCTGGAGCGAGATTGATAAATGTGTAACAAGACTTTTTCTGACACTTGTGCCAGATCATTCAGTGTTTAAATTATGATTATTTATTTTATACGTGATAAATATATTTTCTCATGTTTTTCAATTTAACTCTATTAACTTGATATTTTAAAATAATGACTGTATAGCAAACAACTACCAAAAAGCGAAAGGAACTACGTTCCGCCCGGGGGTCCATAGACCCCTCACACTGTTTTTTTTACGATGAAGAATAAAAGTTAAGTATTTGTTTATGGCAATCGTTATTAATATTTTTGTTTACCTGTCCAAAACAATAAATCATTCCAAGAGCACCTCCAAGTCTTGATCCTAGTGTATGTGATATCAAAAAATATACACCTCCACTTTCAATTCTGCATCTATCACATATTCCAATGGCTGATAATACTGAGATTAATGCTACAAAAACTGAAAATAAATATATTTATGTTACATCCTATTATTAATAACCAGTGCACAATTTCTCTAACTATTCTCTCAATGCTTGGTGCATCATCAAGTATTTTATATTTGTATTGTGGCAGCAATTGTTTAATTTCTTTGCAAAGTAGTTTACTATATTTTTAACCCAAACCTATTATACAAATGAACTATTCTGTTGATTTATTCCTTGTATTCAAACAATTTAAGGTTGCCTCTCATAAGCTTAGAAGATGAGAAAGAGGTGTGACAGCAGAGACTTCTGTATTTCTAGGTAATAAAGACATAATGATTTATCTTTATTTTTCAAAAGACATTAAATAATTAAAAGAATGTATGAAGGTCAGTCACTTGTAGGTACTGTTCCACAATATTTATTTACTAAACCTGACTGGTTTCATCTCATGGCTTTTAAAAAAGGTATTATGACAACAACTAATGACAACAAAAAAAAATTAAGAAAAAAAGCACAATAGAGTTACACTTGATTGGATAGTTAAATATAAAATTAGATATTCTTTGCACTTAGAAGAATTTTGTATATTTAACTGAACATCATTTTCATGCTTATTCACTAGGGTTTCTGGGTCAGCAAAGATAAGCAATATACCTCATATACACACCTGTAAATAGTACTATAAATATTGCGTTGACCAAGCCAGCTTGTCCTACAATCCATCCTGATCGTAGAAATACTATCACACCAAAGATGTTTATTAAGCATGATGTAAACACTCCATCCCATGTACCAAACAGCACTGGTTGTGATATAAAAAAGTTTGATTTCCACCAAGGTACATCACCCTAAAACCATTTAAAGTCTCAATTTTGATTTATCTTACACAGCTTATCACAAAGCTGGTAAATCAAATGGTGTTAAGATATTAATAAAGTATTGTATGATTTTACTTAGGTTTTTCCTATAAGGAATAATTATCATTCACCTATCATCAAATCTCACTCAAAGTTAACAAGAAATTCGAAGAAAGACTATAGACAAAGCAATGTTCCAATTGGTCCAATATCAGATTAATTTACATTGACAGAAAAATAGCACAAACTTACATCATAGTCTGTTTTAATTACATAAAATATTTTTATTTTCAGTAATATATAACAATCAATAAATTATGCTTCTTACATAATGAAATACTTGTAAACAAAAATAACTAAATAAGAAATGTGTTAGTTACAAAAAATCTAACTACACTTATATTTTAATGTTAGCAAAAAGTAATTAAGATCATTTAGCCTTACTAATGAGTATAATTTGAGAAAAGTTTTTTAAATATATTGGTTAGAATACTTTTAAAATATTTTATAACGCTATATAAATTTAGTTATATTACGCTAAGTGTGTTACTTTTTAGAGTTGTGTAAGAGTTTGTAGAAAGTGAATATAGATTATAAGTTATATAAAAATGACATTTACCTGTATATCTGCAAATATTTCATTAGCTCCTGAAGCTTGATGTCCACCTGTACCATATTGTGATTCATTGCCTAAATCTACGAAACCACCCGACTGCCTTCGCATTCGGGCTCTGTCGAAAGCTGGTTCTTCACTTCGAAAACTATCTATATCTAAGTCATTTCTTCTTTGACGATTACTTTGATCCATTTTAGTAACTTACACCTGTCTTATCACAAATCTATACACGGAATACATTAGGACACTTCTGTTTTATTGTTTACTTATCTTTCGACCGAATTAGCGAATTCCGATTCTGACGACTATCAATTAGAGTTGTGTAGCTCCTGAATGAGTGATATAAAAGATATATATCATTCACGACGATAAAATGTATCACTCACTCACACTAGCTCCGAATATATCAGTAACTCAGTACTAGCTCACTAGATCATTAGATCACTAGCTCAACGACGCCGATCTTTGTTTCATGAGCGAGTGAGACTAAAGATAAATGAGTGAGATAGATGATGGTTGAGTTCACGCAAGTTTCTTTATGCAAAATGTACATTATTTCTATAGGATCAAAGTTTAATATTACTTAAGAATTAAGACTGCCAAGTACAAGGAAAATCAAATTATGTACGATTTCTATTATACAACCTAAAAAAAGTACAAGAAATAATTTCTTTTTTTAAATATTATATAAAAGGGTGTTAATAATTATGTAATCTTATCAAAATGAATAAATTTTATTTAAAAAAAAAAGGTTAAGAATGTAGTTTCAATAACTGAATTTAGGTTAATATGAAAATAAAGAAAGGTTTGTATGGCGAGAGAGGCTTAAAGTGGCTTAAAGGCTTAGATGAAGAAATGAATTAATTGAGAGACCAATCAATTGAATCGGATCAATGAGCTAGTGAGCTAAATGAGTTGGTGAGCTAAATGAGTTGGTGAGCTAAATGAGTTAGTGAGCTAAATGAGCTAGTGAGCTAGATGAGTGATATATATCTTTAGAGCGAAATGATATGTATCAATCTTTTCAGCTCAGTGATACATTTTGCGCATCACTACTATCAATGTCAGTAGCAACAGTGTTGTGCAGTGCATCCAATGTCAAAAGTCCGATGTGCAATCGATTAATGGTAGTTTATTGATACTATTATCATGACAACTTTATACAGCTCAATTATGTAGTCTTCTTCCTCTACAAGTGGTTGGTATATCCAAATTCACTTTTGGGAAAGGTATTTTTATGGTACAGGGGTATAGATGTAAAACAACCGATATAAAACGTTTTAAATAAAATGGAGCCGCCTAACCCCCAAATAAATCGTTTTAAACGAAAACTCGCCTAGACAAATAAAGGAACTGTGTTTTACACTATATAGTAGACAATTTTTGGTCTGAAGGTTTCATTCGTTTATAGAAAACCTATAGAAAGTACCTAACTACATTACCTACTACAAGAAAACTTAAGTATGTAGGTATACTTATTTATTATATTATACACACTAGATTAGAAGACATCATCAACATAATGCCGTCCGTTTTACTTGCGCATGAAAGAGGCAACGTTATGTCTTCATGGCCGTCACGCGAGTGCGAGAGTTGGTTTTAAACCGGCCTTACATCTATACACAGGGGGTAAACGAGCAGACGAGTTACCTGATTGTAAGTGACTATCGCCACCGGACCTGCAACTCAACCACCCTTTGCGGGGAATGGCGGCCTTTGTCCAGTATCCTCACTCACTCGGTGAACGCAACGAAAGAATTGCTTAACAGCACACCGGGTAAAAACAATTACGCTAATGTTGGATGATGGTTGTGAGTGGTCGAGTTTTTAGTTCATGGTTCTTGGCGTCTAGGTCTTTCTCAAAAAGGTTAGTGTACTGCTTAAGGAGATTTCTCCATGACCGATTCCTGATTGACACCAATTCATTGGGTTCGGTGTTTGATTTCTTTATAAAAATTTTAAGCATGTCTTTGTACCGTAAAACTTAACCACTTAAATTGGGCTTCCCATCTTGATGTTCGAAGAAAAATTAAAAATTCGCTGGGTTATCCAAAACACATGACCAGTGAATACTCATGATGTCTCAAAGATATTGCATGTGGAATACATAAAGTATGTTTAAATTTGCCCAATCCTTAAGGCAAAAATATTGTCATATAAAATGAAATCTTCACCGCAAGCATGCGTGAGATGAAAACTTTGGACTTCAGTTAACAGAAAGCAGCTGAAACTGCATCGATTCTGTCATTAACTTCAGCATCCAGTCTGCACTTCGATGTGATAGCATTTACTAAGAACTTGTAATGAGTCGTTATTGGTACCAATAGGTATTATTTCCGTCGTATCACCTTGGTATATTCCACCTTGGTATATTTGAAGACCGATGTTTTAAATCCGTAAACTATAATACCTCTTTCATAGATCATGAATCAATTATTATAGTACTGCGAAATAGAATTTTCACTATGAATACTGTGGATAGTATTTATACATTTAATTAATTAATATTTTTAGTAACACAATTATTCAGGAATGAACTACAAGTAAAAGATCGATTACGAAAATTAATACAATGGTCAACACTATATAGATACCACAGACTCAGGAGACTTCAATTTTTAAACTAGACTCCGGCGTTAGGATGTTAGTGATTATATTTAAAAGAAGTGCAATTTAGTTCATACACGTATTAAACTAAGTAAATAAACCATCTTAAAGAAAAAGTTTTTTTGTAATGTTGTTGTCTACGATTGAATACAATAACTTACTTAAACTATGGAGTGTAGAGGTAAGAAGAACCATCTCTGTGTATAGAAAGTGTCCGCAGTAGAATGAGGTTACTTTTTTAAAGAAAGCGCCAAACTTATTAGAGTGGGATAGGAAAATAAACATTGAAAGAAAAACAATGTGTAAATTTTGGCTTTAATAATAATAAGACACTGTGTAATAGACGGCGAAAATAGTCAATGAGTTTTATAGACAACAGGAGTGTAATAACTTTCAGAGAATTATTCATTCCATTCGCTATTCTGGTCGGTTATTAGTATTATTTACTGTTCATAGCTGGATACTTTTTCAACGTTCCCCCAAATGATACATCTACCCTGTTGTTGACATGTTTTTTGTGTTACAGTTCTTGTTGTTTTTTTAAAGGTTTCTGTTCCTTAAGATTGTTTTTTGAGATTCATTCTTAAAAAAAGTAATCTCTAGGTATACATTACTGTCTATCTATCTGTCTGTCAATGCCTATTTTTCAGGATCATCTGGAGGTGTAAAATGGGTGAAGAATGAGATTTGTGAAGAAAATAATTAGCCACCGACTTCAATGCGCTTACATCATGATAAATAGTATATGTAGATAAACAGTGCGCAGATGGCGTAGTGGTTTAAGCGTTCGCCATGCCGCTTCCTACTGCGCTGAGTGTTGTAGGTTCGATCCTCACATGGGACACCACTTTGTCTGATCCACAAATTGTTGTTCTGAGTTTGGGTGTTCCTTGTGTCCGTTTCATGTATGTTTGTAAAGTTCTCCGCGACACGGGGGACTTTACAAACATACATGACGACAAACGACCCGTATATATGTATATTCCTAATGCGGGAGTTGTCTTTTAAAAAAAATAGTATTGAACAATACTCTTTATTTCTTAATTTACGACCTATTCCATAAGATCAAACAGTAAGTATATCCTCCCAAATAAATAAATCATTTTCCAAATCGTTGTTAAACGACGGAGTTCTGACATAACAAACAAAAAAAAAATACAACCAAATCGCGGACCCTCTTCTATCTTGAAGTCGGTTAAAATCTAAGTAGTTATTTTGCTTTTGGCATTATCAGATAGGTAAAGCAAAACTTTTATAAATTTATATTTTTTTACTTTTGTGTCATATACACATTGTGGTATGTGTTTTATCTTTGTTACTGGGTACCTGTGGACTGTTAAATTTTGTTAAAGTCCGAGACCTTCAATAATCTTACTTTTTAATTACGTTGACTCAGACGCTTAATTTTATTGCAGCATTTTTGAGAAAAAACTGACTTAGCTTCTTAACTGATAGGCAATAAAGCACATACGAGTACATACTAGTACAGCCTCGATTGCCGAGTCTGATTAGCACTTTTTTTTTACTACATTTGTTTTTTCTTCTTTCAGAGATTTTCAAATTCATATATTGCCTTATTTCACCAAAATTAAAAGAATGCATGTTTCGTACCTACCTACCTAATGGATTTATCTTTGTCAGGTTTCACTATCTAAGATTACATGACCAAAAATGAATGAAAAATAAATAAAAACAATGCTATGGTTTAAACCTACGCAGTATTTTTCAAGGACGGAAGGAAGGAAGCAAACAAACTTTTCTTTTTGTGTGCCATGGCTTCAAAATAAACAGGTGTCGCTCTAGTTTTTCATATAATAATAAATTTTGAAAGAAAAAAGATGAAGAAAATTAGATGCCATTAGAAATCTTTCGGCGTCTCGATTATCTTTTCGTCTGAAATGTAGAGTAGATACATACCTACTATACATTTCAGATGAAAATAAATCTTCATTTAACTTGTTAGGTATTTATTAATGAACTTGCACGCCAATTGCGGAACAATACGGCGCCGGCGGTTTAACAATATTATCTTCTCGTTTTCTGAAATATACCTATACTTAATTAAGAAACCTACTAACCGCATTGTATTTACTGAATATTCGCGAACACTGTCAATATCTATATATGTACATATAAATGTTAAAAGGCTTGTGTACGCTTCAAAAACTCAAAAATTCTGCACTGATGGAGCCCAAATTTTAAAACGATATACAACTCTCCTTTCTTATCAATGCAACCACGATGGGCACATTGAAGTGTGGCAGGGTACAGTTATATAGTTTCTTTATAATTTTATTGCATATTTGAAAAAGAAAGAAGAACAAAAAAGAAAGAAACAATGTTTATTAAATTTTACAACCATTATACATATTTTTTACTTCTGCTAAACTGCAGGACAGTTTGTTGGCAGACACACTCCTTATTTGAATATTTTTTGAGTTAAACATATAACATCTCTCCTTTAAGTACATGAAAAAACTGTATATATATATATATATATTATTATATATGCTATGTACACTCGGTTCCAAAAATTACGGGTCAGTCACAAAAATTAAAATACCTCCAGAACTGTAAAAGTTAGA